CCCCTCGCTCCAATCGGTCGCCGTCTCCTAGGCGCCGCTACCCTGGCGTTGATGGACACAGGTGCAACCGTGTCAGTGATGAGTTTAGTTTTCACCCGCCTGCTTGGACGAAAAGTTATGTTTTGTTGGGACCGTCCTGATACGTTTCGTGGAGTGAGCGGAGAGGTGTTACAACCTGTTGGTGTGTGCACTGTGACTGTTAGTTTGGCGTGCCAGAACTTTGTTGCAGAGTTTGCTGTTCTCCCTCATACTACGCATGACGTTATTCTGGGACTCGATTTCTTGAAGCTATGTGCTGCCACTGTCGATTGTCACACAGGACAAATTACAGTAGATTCCGATATCCCAGTTGCGCTTATAGAAAACTCGCCCTGTCAGGAAAGTGCTCTTTGCGTGTCCGTGGACACAACTGTGCTGCCATTGTCGGCGAAATGTGTCCCTGTTGTCTGTTCATTTGCAAGCGAGAAAACATTTGACGCAACTGTGGAGCCCGTGCATCTCAGTTGCATAAAGAAGACAGTTTTAATACCCTACTGCACGCTATCGGTTGCGCAAGGGCATACTGGTTTATGGGTGATTAACTGCTCTGACGAACCAACAGTGCTGCCGGAGGGTCTGAAACTTGCAGAGATTCGTGAACACCAAGTATTCTCGCTTGCCATTCTTGCAGACACCAGCGATTGCCCGGATAAGACCCGTTACGATAATCTGCACGCCAGGGACACCACTATTGTGGCTATGATCGACAAGTCACTCAGCACCAAGGAACGTAATGAACTGGCGAGTGTTCTGCGCAAACATGCCGGTATTTTTGATTTCGCTCAGCACGATCCACCGTCATTCCCTGCTTCTCGCATAAAGCACCGAATCGACACGACATCTCACAGACCTCTCCGACAGAAACCATATCGTGTATCGCCTTCGGAACGCGCAGTGATCAATGAACAGGTTTGCGAGGTGCTCAAGAAAAATGTAATTCAAGAATCATGTAATCCGTGGGCCGCTCCAGTAATTCTAGTGAAAAAGAAGGATGGGGCATGGCGATTTTTTGTGTTGACTACCGCCGTCTCAACGCCATCACTAAAAAAAGACGTATACCCACTCCCGCGGATTGATGATGCTATCGACTGTCTATCATCGGCCACTTACTTTTCGTCTGTGAATTTGAGGTCACGCTACTGGCAGATTCCAATGCACGAGGAATACAAGGAAAAAACGGTATTTGTTACAACAGATGGACTATTTGAATTCAATGTGATGCCGTTTGGACTCTGCAACGCACCTGCAACGTTTGAGCGCTTTATGGACAACATTCTGCGTGGATTGAAGTGGGAAGTGTGTATGTGTTACTTTGGCGACGTTGTAATTTTCGGGCGCACCTCTTGTGAGCACAACACACGCCTTGGCCTCGTGCTGGACTGCCTAAGCAAAGCTCGCTTAGTGCTCAACTCAAAGAAATGTCGTTTTAGAGAGTGCCAAACACTCGTCCTCGGACACTTAGTAGACAAAGAAGGCATACGACCGGATCCCACGAAGACGGCCGCAGTAGAAGCATTTAAGCAACCTCATTCGGTGAAAGAACTGCGCAGCTTTTTAGGGCTTTGTTCATACTTTCGCCGATTCATTCCTGGCTTTGCAAATATTGCATACCCGCTCACGTGTCTGCTTCAGAAAGGTGCGCAGTTTGACTGGACCCCTGAATGTGAGTCTGCTTTTTCGGGTTGAAGTTTCTATTGACGTCTCATCCGATTCTTCGGCACTTCAATCCTCTGGCTCCCACTGAGCTTCACACAGACGCCAGCGGTATTGGTGTAGGTGCTGTCCTGGTTCAACGCTTGGATAACCAAGAACACGCCGTAGCGTATGCAAGTCGCTCGCTCAGCAAGTCCGAGCGTAACTACACAGTCACAGAGCAAGAATGCCTTGCAGTTGTCTTCGCAGTGCAGCGCTTCCGGTCCTACCTGTATGGACGCCCCTTTAACGTCGTGATAGACCATCATTCTCTCTGCTGGTTGGTCAATCTGCGTGACCCATCTGGTCGGCTGGCGCACTGGGCACTTCGTCTACAAGAATATGACTCCACTGTTTCCTATAAAAGCGGCCGACGTCACGCTGACGCAGATTGTTTTTCGCGACTACCGCTTCCAACGACGGAATGTGACGCGGACAACTTCGACACCTACATCGCATCACTGCATGAACCATTTCCCGATGCCAAGACCTTTAAAAATGAGCAACAAAGGGACAGCACCATACAGCAACTCATTGCTACCAAACCAAAAACATCACCTACACACTTCTGCATCCGAGACGGGCTAGTTTACAAAAAGAACTACACCAGCACCGGCTCTCGATATCTTCTGGTGGTTCCAAAGAGTCTTCGCGTTTATGTCTTACAGGCTATGCATGATGACCCAACATCCGGTCATCTAGGCACAGCGAAAACTCTTTGCCGTCTCCGAGAAAGATTCTACTGGCCCAAAATGCGCCAGACGACGGAACAATACGTGTCTAGCTGTAACGAGTGCCAACGTCATAAGCGCCCAACACGTGCTCCTCCAGGGCGATTACATCCGGTGCCGCCCCCTAGAACTCCATTCGAGCGAGTCGGGATTGACCTCCTTGGGCCCTTTCCCCGGTCTTCTGATGGAAATCACTGGATAGTCGTCTGCACCGACCATTTAACACGGTACTGCGAGACAGCTGCCATACCATCGGCAACTGCAGTCGATGTGTCTCTCTTCATGCTACGTTTTGTTATTCTTTGACATGGACCTCCCAAAATTGTAATCAGTGGCCGTGGCCGACGATTCACCGCAGACGTAGTGGAAGAGATGCTTCGTGTCTGTGCCTCAAGGTTTCGGCACTCTACACCATATCATCCCCAAACAAACGGTCTAACTGAATGAACGAACAGAACTCTCTCGAACATGCTGTCTATGTATGTCCCATCAGATCACAAGAACTGGGACAGCATTCTACCTTTTATCACATATGGATTCAACACCGCACAGCATGAAACTACCGGCTACAGTCCTTTCTTTCTTCTATATGCTCGACCACCTCGTCATACCCTGAATACCATCTTCCCGTGTTTGGACCACCATGATCCCTGCATATCCGAGATCATCTGTCGGGCAGAAGAAGCTAGACGCCTTGCTTAATTGCGCACTCTTGCTTCGCAAGACCGCTCAAAGGCACATTTTGACCACCGACGCCGACACGTGACGTACAATCGCGGCGACATAGTGTTGCTGTGGACACCGACTAGAAAACGCGGTTTGAGCGAGAAACTGCAAGCGCACTATGCGGGGCCTTATCTTGTTCTAGACCGTATCAGTGATTTATTTTACCGCATAGCGCGTCTCCATTCGAACGGCCGACGGTCTGCAAAAACTGAACTTGCCCATGTTGCACGTTTGAAGCGCTTTATTCCTCGAGAGACTGTCTGACTCGCCCAGTGGGCTTCGTCTGCGTGGAGGGAAATGTTACCACGTATGTAATTTAGGTATGTGCACCTGGGTATCGGGGAACAGGCAGATTAGAGAAGAGGACGTTCGGCTAGCTAGATAGACCTCCGGTGCACGACCCCTTGAAGTCTACCAGCACGCCACAGCGTAATAAACACATTACAATATTGATTCAGTATACGTAATCAGCCAACCCGGAACTGTCTTATATGGAGCACCAATCGGAACTGTAACAATCTCTAATTGACCCAACATATAAAAATGTCAAATCAAAGGTCTAATATCACATGGACATGTGTAATGATATCCAAACATTCCGATCGGAAAAACAATCTTCCAGTTTGAATTAACCTCAATCGTAATTGGAAAAGCATTTGTATTACAGAAATTTATAACACCAATTTACATGACCATGTGGAACTATTAACTTCCGTTGGGCTATCCCAATGAAGTTGAATGTACCAGCTGGTTTTAGTTCATCCCATTGGCTGCCAATTGATATAGCCATCAGTTGGGCCAGGTGACTTTTTCTTACTGTGTTGGGGGATCATTTGGAGAAGGGCCAATGGGCTAGCATTCCAATCAGACATTTCAGAGCATACCATTGAAACCAGATCACACCAACTGGGACCAATTGAGACAAATTGGAATTCTCAATTGGTGTCAATGTTGTTTTTTTTTTTGTGTGTGTGTGTGTTCTTTTTTCACTTCGTGCGCATTCGCACGAACTCCGACACCGCACTGCTGGCGCATGCAACTAAAGTTTTTCCGTTACTTTCTTCGGTGCACGGCAGCAATTCACACCTGCCACCTGCTCTATTAGAGCCATCTTTTTTGTAAACAGTAGACTTTCATTAGCGGTGTCGCCCCCTTTTGTTTATGGTGGAGCAAAGCCACGGAGAGCGGAGCGCTGGTATCGGTAAAAAAACTGCCTTTTTAAGCTAAGGTGGTGGTGGTAGTGAATATAAGAGGTAAAATGCGCCTAACAAGCTAAGGTCGTGTGTGTGCAATGCATAAATGTGTATGCAAACGCACACGGAGGAAGGAAAGGTGCAAACGCATGTGCAAACGTACTCAGATTTTTCCAACCTTGTTTTTTCTTGCATTTTAGCACCGCGGCGCCTGGCGGACGAGGTGGCCGAGTGGTTAAGGCGTTGGACTGCTAATCCAATGGGCTCTGCCCGCGTGGGTTCGAATCCCATCCTCGTCGTATTGTGGACTTTATTTTTTATATGTTTTCAATGTGTTTAATTATGGGAGGCTTTGGCGCAATTTTGTCTTTCTTCTTTCACACAACGTGTTGTCGATGTCGACTTTTTAACAAATTGTGTTCATACAGCGCAATGCTACGACGCAAACGCGTTAACCTGGGGCGTCTGCAACATTTGCTGCAAACCAGAGAGTTAAGATGAATTGTCACCTGGAACGCTATCGATAGCCGCCGATCAGAACCGCCGGCACCGACGAAGCCCGCAAAACTAGAGCAAAACCACGCCTTCGAGCAACGCCTTCAAATGATGTCTGCGGCTTAGGTGAATAGATGGCAGCACAGTGCACGCTGCGAACTAATATGGCAGCGCCCACTCCGTTAGAAGCGTGGTTCGTGTTTACGTGCTTGCAGCCGAAGTGACATAACCGAGTCGTGTCTTCGCTTCTGTGCTATGTGATTCTATCGAGGACGAGAAGTGTTCGCGAGTGGCTCGCAAAACTAATATGAAGCGCAGTCGTAATGTGAGAGGCGAGGTGCGCGCGAGCGCGCAGCCGCCAGCGCACGGTGTTGACGTTTCAAGACTGTCGAGAAAAAAGCGACGGAAACTGGAGAGATCAGAGAAAAAAGTTCGACGACACGCATTTCACATGAAAAATAAGGTATGTGGAGGAATGAGGCGCGTCGTCTCTTCCCCCTCGCAATAGCACGCGCTTGGGTCGCGGTAAGCTCAACTGAGAACTGAAATTCCCCGACGGGGAGATCTTGTGTTGTACTTGACTTTAAGGCGTTGACTTTCTTTGGCTGACAGTGCATCTTTTCCGTAATGATCGTGCCAGTTTCAATTACCTACTAGTTTTGCTGCGTTCGCAGATTAAACAAGCTGGGGGAGGGGGGGCAACTTTCCGTGTTGTCATCGTGTATTTCTGTACTACCAATCACGAGCAGCAACTGCAAAGTTTGAGATAAACTATCTCGTTGAATATAGCTGCCCTACACGTAAGACGTTGTGAATGAAGCGCTTGTACAGCTGTATCCACCGTTCGGTCGTGCTAAGACATGGAGTGAGCTGAATCAAAATTACAATCTAGCACTAGCTTTGAACACATAAATCTAGATTGAAGCAACAAAAGAAGGCAGAGAAGCGAGACCTAAAGAAGGCTAAAGTAAAATTGTCGTGATTTGCTCTGTTCTAAATCCAATGCACTCTGGTGTAGGGAATCATCCAAAAAGAGATTGGAGAGGATATGCCAAAAGCTCCACATAATCCAGAAACCAACAAGTGAAGCCATTGCAAAAGATCACCGTGCAAAACAGGCTAAACAGGAGGAACCTGCATTGAAGAAACCGACCAAACGTGTAAGCTTTCATTTTTGTGTGCTGAAATGTTTGTCTAGTGTATCTATACAGCCACATGTACTACCTATGTGTACAGTGTGTGGCATCTTACTGTTTGAATAAACACAGGAAACAATTTTGCATAATGTACATGAACAAGTCACTACCTACTACCAAAGTCTGTGGCACTGTGTTGGGTTTACATTTGTCAGCAGGTGCAATACCTTGAATATTAAACACCTACTTATTCACACCGCTAATAAAATGTTAATGCATTCTCATGAGCTGTTTTTTTTGTTGCAATGCTCTGGCCTTTCTTAGAAAGCCAGAGCAGTTTAACTGAACATCTTGTTGAAGTTCCAACAGATTTCAGCTGTATAGAAGGTATTGTGGTTGACTGAAGCATCACAGTAAGTTTTGATGACATTGGTGTAGCATGACTATCAGCTGTAGCACTGTATGTGAAGACATGACTGTGTTAGCATAGAACATTACGTAGCTAGAGGCAAGAACATGCTTCGGTAGAGCTGCTTGACCGAGCCCTAGTCTCGCTCTAAACCATCAACAGCTTGGCTGGTTAGTAGGGCACTGTAAATTGTAATTGTGGTGACTGCATTTTTAGGCTTCCAAAAGTCCTTAATACATGCTGGAGGTGTATAACAGGCCACACAGAAACAAATCACTAATCACCAGTTATATGTAAGTGCTGCACGTCTGCTCATTTCCTGAACGCTGACATCGACTTTTCTCATTCCATAGGAGCAGGAAGCAGTTCGCAAAAAAAACCTCCGTGATGACAACAAGCAGGAAGACAGAGTTATCAAACAGATGGAGAAGTTGTTGTTCCTCAACAAGCGAAAGAACAAGAATATGCCCAAGTCATTCATAGACGAGGGCCTGGACTGTATCCTTCTTGCGCTCATTGCCATGTTGACAGTTTATGTGTTGAATTTGATTTGCCATCAAAAGTTTACCAAGAGCAAGTATCATGAGTAAAATTTACATTCCCACTTTGCTGCAAATGACACAACACCTAATGTCATTTGCAGCAAATGACATTACAGGTGACGTGTGACAGGGGTATTTGACTCGCTAGTAGCAGAATGCACACACTCGTGTTGGACACCTGTTTAGGGAGAGTGTTTTCAAACAAATTTTCCTTTCTTGGGAAGCACCACAGTTTTCTCTTAATCATCGATAAGTCGAAGCCCGAAAAGTAGCCAACGTAAATGAATCGGCGTGTAGGCGCAGCTCCAAATCCCTCGTGGTCATTGATTTTTTAATAGAAAACTTAATGTGTTCAATCAGTTCTGATGCTTCATTCGCAACAGCTGGAGTAAACATTCGTTTGCACTCATCATCATTCCTCACGGTCAAAAATTCGGGAACGCTGTAGTGGTTTCGATTGCCGACTGCAAGTTGTGAGCGGATTTAAGCTAGTCTTTCTTTGGATGTATATGAATTTTTTTTTTACTCATGCTAGTTTATCTTGTTAAACCAGCCGGATTCTGTGATGTAAATTAATTGCATTAATTTTAATTTTCTGATATCATAGCATCTGCCGATTAACATTGACATCAATTGCGAATGTCATTTCACATAGCAGTGTAGACGCGAAATGCACGATCGCAATGACATTCGTCATGAATGTCATTCGCTGCGAATGACGTTACACATGCCGTGCTTTAGGGGTATAAGGCAGAATCTTGAATTTTAATGCTGTTCTACACAAATACCCCTCATCCACTTTGTAAGTAACTCGGCACTTTTGACTTGCTGGGAGGTAGGAACAATGCTTTCTAGGGATTTTACCGTATGCAGACACTGGATGCATCATTTGGCTGTTTGGTTATTCAAAGAATCATTGCTTAGTTGTTTAAAACAAGTTATAAAACTATTGTGTCTATTTCACCATGTAATTAGTTGTAGTTCAGAAGCAGAAATTCTTTGAATATTGACAATCCATATAGGTGTCTATTAGCTTTGTACTAGCCTAAATGCAAATTAGGGATACAAAAGTTGGTTGACGTGCAATCACTGCATGGAATGGTATCAATAGTGCCCACATTCATGCTCTATGGTGAAGTTTGGCTCACCCCATAGTTTCCAAGTTTCCATACTTGTTAATAGCACTGCTGTGATCTTTGAGATTGGTGCGGCTTGTAGTTCGATTTCAAGGGCCATTTCATCACTCTATGGCCTGCAGCTTTTGCAAGGCAGATATTAGTGCGTTATATGGTCACCTTTTAGCAATGCCATTTTCAACTTTGTGCATGACTGTATTATGTTTAAAATATAATTGAAATTGCTGTCAAATGTAACGGCACAGTTTTGTTTCCACAGGATCACAATAGTTTGCCAACATATGTTGCAAATTGCAATTCACAGTTTCTTTGCAAGTCCTGTCGAACTTTCTTAATCATGCAGTTGAGTATTGGCATAAAATACCTTGCTGTATAATTGTCTAGACATGCTCCAATAGCGCTGCAAAAAAGCTTAGCAACAATGAAGTATTCTAGTTATTAATTCCAACTTTTCATGATAGTTCACTTCACATATGTTCAAGAACGTACTCATACCTCACCTAATTTGTTAGCTAATGATCAATCGATCATAGTGCTTCAGTTGAGCTTGTGTTCATTGTGTAAAGCTTTTAAAATTATCGCTTAGCGGTGATGTTATTATTGAAATCTAAGAAGCTCTCTCAGTACCACTGTGATTCCTTTTACAACAAGGATAGGAGCCTTGGTAATTGGCAAGTACTCGATTATGACCAATTATTTGCACACTGTGCTTTTTTTTATTAGAACTAAAGTATAAAGTGCAGTGCATGATCAACTTATAGCTGCCTCCTTGAGCAATGCATTGACATCGAAAATTTTATCGAGCCAAATATTTGTAATGCTTATCACGTTCATCTATTCGGTATTGTTTTGTCGCTTGCACTGACAATGTTAAACATTGCATCAGTAGAACCAAACTTCAATATGTTTCTTATGTAGTAGTTGTTGTAATGTGATCATTGCAATCTGTGTGTTGGCATAATAACTCGAAATTCAGCGAACTGCACTTTTCTACATACGATTCCTTCACTAAAAAGTTACAGATCTCCTAGAAGTTGTGGACAAAAAATACCAGAACACTCACGAGGAGAGTGACAATGATAACGCTGATGTTTATGTGAACCCTGCTAAAAGAAAAAGGAAGTTAGAGGAGAGTAAATCTTTAAGTGCTGGGAAGAAACAGAGGACTCATTCAGACAGCGAGGGAAGTGAAAACGAATTTAGTGATGATGATGATGAGCTTCCAGACAAAGCTTCAGCTGGGAAAGTGCTGTCTAGTGCTGAATATCAGAGCAGTGGAGACAACGAAATCAGTGATGATGACGGCATTGATGAGGAATGTAGCGACGAAGATGGTGGTGAAGATGCGGAGAGTGGTGATGAGTTTGATGAGGACGTCATCAGCGATGAGGAAGGTAGTAATGGCAGTGATGAAGACAACAGTGGTGATGAACTTGGCTCTCAAGATGAATCGTTCGATTCTGAGAACAGCACCTCTGGCATTGTCTCCCATCCGTGGCGTGAAAAAGGGCAAGAAAAACGCATTGCTTGAAAATCGTGCCCAGATATCACCCAAAAATAGTGAACCTGCTTCTAAACTAGCAGGTACAATGAAGCCTAACAAATTAGTTCACAAAAGCAAAGGTTGTAAGAACACTCCAGAAGAAGAAGATGAAGATGAAATCTCTTTCGATGATGAAAGTGAAAGCTCTAGGAGGAGAGGAAGATGATCCAGTTGGGTCAAAAACACTTGGTGAGGGGCAATCCCGAAAAACAGCCAGACAAGGTGGCACACCTTCTGATGGCACATGGGAAGATATATACGGACGGTTACGCGATAAGATGGCAATGTGGTATCGCAGAAATATGTTCCACCCGCCAAAAGGCTCCAAGGCATCAACCTTAGCTCAGCAAAAAAAGAGGAGCTTGCCAGGCTGAAGAAACAAGTTAAAGGTTTACTGAACAGGTATGTGGACAAAATTCTTAACTCTGGAGATGTGGGGTGTTAATAGCTATTCGAGTTAGTACAATAGCAGAGTGTTCAACATTTTCTGCTCTGTCTGAAACAAGGGCAGAAGAACAGAATGATGGCACACGTTGCACATTCAAGATGTGATAGATTAAGAGTGCATTATGAGCCATGAACACTCTACAGAGCAGGCAAGGTTGTCCTCTAAAAATTAGTAGAGTTGGCTGGAACTTTGCTTGAGGTGTTTATTTTACACGTGGCTTTCGCTCGCGTGCTGCATGTGACGCTTGGCAGTACTATGGTAGTTGTTTTTTTTTTTTTTTTGTAGCAGTAACCGTGGGGAGCCGTCGTGTGTGACATTGCCTTTACTGCTCTGCAAGAACTTTAGTTCAAATAGCTTAAGTTCAGTCCTACGTCATAAATTAGACACAGACAGCAACACTGAAGTTGCTGGTTACTGGCAAGCATTCAGCATTATGTTGCACCCATGCTGTCTGCAAAGAGTGGAAGTGGATAGCCACAGGCATGGTAGCATTGCCCCTCCCTCCTGGGTACGGTATAGCGCATTCATTCTCACACGATGCCTTGCGGATGGTTTGTGTTCTAATTACTGATTTAGAGCTGCTTCGCATCGGAAGGGAGTGCGTAAAGGGAGCAGGCCACTCTGAATTTGCCATTGGAATTCAATATTGTTTTTTTTTTAATTCGTAATGAATAAATACGGAATGTTCTTCTTAGGCATGTGTTGCATACGATATGATGGTAACAGATTCAAGATTTGGGATGCTGCAGTTAACATTTTGCTCAGTTACAGCAGCATAGATCAATCGATAGTTCCATTTTTAACATCAAATCTTTTTGTGAAAAATTTGGCTGCGATCTATTAGCATTGTAGAGAACCATGTAGCCATGCACCAGACCTTCATTTGAGTTTTCGTTGGTTCTCAACAAAGCTTGGTTAGGACATTAGTCTCACATAAAGATCTGCAGTACAGTTCTGCAAAATCTTGCACTATTGGCTTAGCTAAGTGTGGGACACTTACGTAGTTGCACATGAATCTACCTGTAGCTGCACTGAATGTAAACATAACTAAGGCAAGAAAAATGTAGTATCCAAAGGAGTAACATGTACACAGTCACACTGCTGCCAAGGAGTATGCCAGCAGTAAGGTAGAACACATTTAATAGTTTGGCAAGATGGTGCCATAGACATGGCAACTTAGACTTCCATGTCTGGTAGCCCTGTGGTACTGAAGCTTTCAAGGACTTTGCAGGCAAGCTAAAACTCTAGCAACTTGGCTTTTCTCTTTCTGAGAGTGTTCACTTGTATACAGAGCTGTATTTTACGTATAGATATGCAGTCACTATGTCTTTTGTAACTACAGCTCTAGTATAGGCTAATGAGAGACAAGTGATGGCATAGAAACACTGAAGAAAAGCAATAATTGATCGATAAAATTCAGGTCATCTGAATATTGTTTTGTTTTGTTTTTTTTCAGGTTGAGTGAAACCACGGTACAGCCTATAGGAATGGAGATGGAGGAGCTGTACAAAAAGCACAGCAACAATGGTATAATTTTCTTTATTAGTGCACTTTTTTTTACTCATTCATTGCCCACGGTGGTGATGTGATATCTTTCTTCTTCTCATTTCAGATGTCAACTCTACCTTGAATCTTTGTCTGTCTGAGTCGATCATTGCACCTTTCTTGACTCCCGAGCGTCTCGTGATGGAGCATGCGATGCTTGTCGCATACTTGCACTGCAACGTGGGAACCGAAGTAGGTCAGTGTTGGAAATTTAGATTGCATTTTATTTAAGTAGCGCAGCTAGATTAAGTGTATCTTTCCACGTTGTGCCACAGTTTGCAAGTGGCTATGGCTAAAATGTCAAGCTAGATGAATCCTTCCGAGAATGTTTGAGAAAGTGAAAGATAGCACATATTGTCTGGGGAGCTATTTTAAAAAGTTGACCGGGTTTGAAAAAGAAAAGTGAAATGAGCAATTAGTCAAATTTTGTGTATAGGTTCCCCCTCACAGCTACAATTAAAGAAATTTAACCTATGTCAAGTGCACGGAACCAGTCCACATGGATTGGTTTGTGCCATCTACCCAGACGATTGTTAAACTAAACTTCTGTAATGGGCATTCTTTTTATGTAACAAATGACGTAACAAAGCTTATGGACTGATGTTTCTTGTGTGTCTCGTTATCATTAGTGGTGGACAGGCATAAAAAGCCGGAGCCAATACATTGTTTAAGTTGTTATGAACTCCGAGTCACGAGACTTCGGTGTTGATTGCGAAATGTCTTCAAAAGAGAATGTCTGCCCTAGTTAGGCTCACTACAAACTAGTTTCCATTTCTTTTTAAATTTTATTGAGTTTTCATGTGTGGGGGTCCCAGAGGGGGGCAGCACATTATCAGTATAAAGCATTTGCATTCAAAGCCTGCTGACTTCTTTGTCAGGAAATCAATTTCGTGTACTTCAAGAAAACACTCGTCAATCGCTATGGTAAGAAAGGTGAACATTTTCTGCACTTTCATCATCTTGCATCACTCCCTTATCACTCACCATCTTTCTCCACAGATAGGGTCGCCCAATTTGTCCTAAATCCTAGAAGTTCACCAAACCTGGACTTTAATGTAATGTAAAACTTCCTCTGATGTTCTTGCAGCATCGTACTTGTGGTATCTTAGACATCTTTCTGAGATGAAATGTAAAGTATGATTTGATTTGATACCTTTAGTGTTATGTGCATATTTGTGGAAGTATGTATACTGCCATGACAATTAAAATGGGCCTGGCTTTTTTTTTATTAGGTGCACAGATACTCCAAGACATGGCTGAAAGGTTCAATGAATTGTATGGGCAGCAGCAAGGTAACAGTGTTGGGAAAGAAGTTGACAACTGTGCTTTGTTTATATCATACCTCTTCGTCTTCAAGGTAAGTCTCCCTCTGCATTTCTTCTTTCCTTCTTTTTATCTTTATCAGGACTGGGCAGGGATACTCAGAAAAGTGTTCCACAATACAGATATTGATATACAAGTGCTGGAAACTTAAAATACATATACTCGATACATTTGTCTTTTATGTAAAAGTATATTCTGGAGATAATTTTGCAAAAAGACGAAAAAGTATCCTAGAATATAGATACTGGAATATGTGGGGTCTCTATATGGCGAGCGCCACGCTCTTGGAGTGAGCAGACGCGGTCGGACCAAACCAAGCCAAACACACATTTATTTAACTACTTTCAAACGACGATATCGTAAGCTGAATTATTATAACATCACTTGTGATCCACATGCTAAACAACCTTACAGAATATGACGCAAGTGACAACAGTCAACAACATGACAAACAAGGCCTGACTCACCACAAGGGCCCCGGCAGACGCCCCGCGGTTCCGTGCCTCGGGGTCACACTGCAAAGAGACAACCGTTCGTGCTAAACGCCACCTGCCGAAGAGGCTCGCTCAATTCTTTCGTGCCGCCAGGAATCATAGCCGGCGCTACTGATCTAATCATGATGTGATGATGATAGCGGTGATCAACGCTCGCGAACACAATGCCACCTACCAATAGTTGTTGCTCAATAGTTGCTCAATAGTTGTGACCCCGAAATATGGCTTCTGCGCGAGACACGTGCGCGAGCAACTTAACAGGGGGTGTCAGCACCCCCACAAATAATATAATTTTTTTTAATTTCTGGGATGCTGGTGCTCCACAATGACATTTATTGAGTGCAGCATTTCATTGTTAATGGCATCACAGCGAATTGAAACTTACCATCAAGCATATCGCTTGATTCACTAATTACCACCAGTAAATTAATTGAATTAGGCACGAGATATCTTTCACAGAGAAGGTGGATGCATTAATTTTGTTTAAGCACTAGCATGTTATCAAATAGACTATCTACTAGACAGTGTCAGTTCTGTCTCAACACAAGGCTCACAAACGAGAAAAGTCTCTCTACCTTTGCACACGAGTTTGCATTAAAACAAATTAATGCCGCCTTCATGGCCGTAAAATCCTGCCACATGACCACATCTCTTCTAGGTCCACTTGAAACCGAAAAAAACGTAGACGGTCTTCACTGGCCCTGTGAGACGGCGGCGTCTGTCATCAGCAGAGGTTGACAATACTGCCCCTGCTCAATACAGCGGCGTCGGGCGCTCTACCATATGTACCATTCTTTGCACCTGGTCAACCTTTCACCACCTTTCTCCACATTTCGGGCCAAAATAATGAGATACCTGTGCCTGCACAGTATCACAATACAATCGATACATTCTAAAAGTATTTCACTACTGGTATGCCAATGCATTTTTCAAGTGTATCTCGGTTCAGATATACAGATACACAAAAGTATCTCTGAGATGCCATCGCGATGCAGCCCAGTCCTGCTCTTGTCATGGAAGGCAGTCCTCTACCATTCAACTTACTTCTAAATTCTTTCTTCTTCATTTTGTTAGGAATGTGAAAAGGAAACCAGCGCCATTGTCGGCCTTCTTTGTAGTTTGTTTCGGGAATGTAATGAAAAAAATTGGGGCATGTTTACGGGCACTCCTAAAGACTATTTTCATGTGTCACTTCAATATATGAAAAAAGAAGTTAAAATCTTTTTCGCGGTATGCAAACCTGGTACTCAAGTCATTTTACTTAAATCGCATTGAAACTTCATAAGTTCACCAGCCCTTTTTTCTTGGCCTAATGTGTCCTCTTTTCAGGTGGTTCATTCAAGAATTGTCTACGACATCTTACGAAAGTTGGCTGAGACTTTCAGTGAAAAAGACGTGGAGATCATTCTTCTCATACTACGTTGTTAGTACCCTTATTGTTCTGTGTGGCTGCTGATTCTATTAATGAGCATGTACCTAACTGGTTGTGCATTAGAGTAACTGTGCATAATATAGTTGATGTCAGATATTTGGATGTTGCAATAAAAAAAAAAAACTAAAGTTCATCTAGTTCAAGGCAGAATAGAAATGGACTTAGTCTTGTAGTGAGCATAAATTAGAAAGTGATGACTACTTACTAACTATGCCTCATTATCTTCTTTATTGTAGCAATATTTGTTATAGCCTGTGTGCACATGCATGCATTTTACTTTTTTTTGTGTGAATTAAATAAACCTGAAAACAGAAATGACCTTCATGAAAGTGAACTGTTGTAGTGAACAAAGCATAATTAATCACTCAGAGACTGATTGCTAATTACGGGCTGGATGCAGTAAACTGTATTGCGCACTAAGTTTTATTCGTGAAATGTATCTGTGGGCCACCTAAATTACGTTTTCAGACTACTACTTGTAGTGAGGAAAATTGTTGTATTAAACATAATTTGTAACAGAAAGGAAAGCTTTCTTACTTCTTTCACTATGTACTTCTGCAGTTTGCCACATGATGTTTTTTCTAGCTGTTGGATTTGCTTTGCGAAAGCATGACCCTGTGGCCCTGAAGGACGTAGTACTCCTGTTGCAACGCAAGAGTGCTCAAGATACTGTGGGAGCCCAAGAGTAAGTATAATATTTCTTTCTCACATAAGTATGAAATAAGTACTTTGCATGTGCTACAGATTGACCTGCCTTAGGCCATGCTGATACTCAAAGCTTTAGCAGTGTCTATGTAAACTAATGGAAAATTCTGTGCAAGCACCTCTGCCCGAGCAAGTGCCTTGTTTCTGTTTTGGGGAGAATCGAAATATGCGCCAATGGCCAAGCAAGGTACCACCCCTCCTCCCCTGCTTTCATTTTTTAAATGCAAAACATTTCTTAGCGAACTTCGGCGACTTTGCACGTATCTAACTATCTAGCAGCCTACAACTTTTAGCTCTCCTGTCTGTTTCGATAATAGCATTGATGCCAAACTTGGTATGGCATAACATGACTCTATGAAGAACACATTTGACTAGTCATAACATGAAAATCAAGACATAAATGTCATGATTTACATTTCATAGTCCTGCAGCTCTTGCAGTGGTTTCATTCATGTGGCATGTTACAAAACTGGTAAAGTATAACATGATTGCATGGCGAACTCAAGCGACAGACCCTAACATGAAAATCATGGCATGCGTGTCATGTAACAACATGACTACATGCCAAGCTCATGATGTGCTCACGGGCGTTTTGCTAGTGTCACATATACCAAATTTGGTATTACAGGGCGTGAATGGATGACGAAGGTATGCGGCTGGTGCAAACATGATAATCATGAGATGCGTGTAGTGTAACAACATGTCTACATGCCACGCTCATAATGCACTGGCGGCCATTTCGCTAGCTTCACTTATACGAAATTTGGTATTACGGGACCTGAATGAATGACGAAAGTATGATACTAGTGCAAACATGATAAACATGAGATGCGTGTCGCGTAACAACATGACTACATGCCACACTCATGATGAACTCGGGGCCGTTTCGATAGCTTTACATATGCCAAATTTGGTATCACGTGACGTCAATGGATGATGAAGGTATGTGACTGGTGCAAACATGATGTCATGTGAGAGCATGACTACATGCCACAGTCAAGGTGCCTATACATTTCGACGTGACATGGTGCACGTGCTCACTGGCATTCATTTCGTCGGGTCCCGCCAGCGTTGCCATGCCAGGCACCAGTCCTGCCGTATACTAGGAGGCGCGCGTCGCGCTGCGTTGCTTTGACACATGCGCGTTTCAGCGCATCCGGCGTCTCCTGCGTCACGAAAAGAGGGAGACGCAGTGTTGCCTGGGTAAGGCATCGGTTGCCGTCGGGTTGCGTCAACAGACGCTGGTCGCGCATGGCGTCAGACTATAGAGTGCTCACGTTTCGCTAACGTAGCGTCGCTGTGGCCAGCGTACGTGCGCTTCAACGCTACATTGGAGTATATTGGGCCCTTCATGATGCGCTAGCGGCCGTTTTGCTAGCTCCACATATACCAAATTCAGTGTTACGTGACGTCAATGGATGACAAAAGTATATGACTGGTGCAAACATGATAATCCTAACATGCGTGTCATGTAAGGACATGACAACGTACCACGCTCATAGCGTGCTCACGATTGCTTCGCCAGCTCCACATATACTAAATTTGGTATCATGTGACGTGAATAGATGACGAAGGCAACGACACATCTAAACACGTTAATCATGACACGGAAGTCATGTACGGCATCATTTACCTCCACCTCGTAATGTTGAGCTAATTTTAAAGTGACATGTCACCCTTTCTCATTCGTGCTAAGCATATCATTAATTCCCAATGTACGTGGGATCTGCCAATTTTTTTTCTTTCAACCTTTTCATCGGTTTAGAATCCTCCAGCAGTAGTTCTACGAACCCAAGTTCTGAAAGCCTTTAGATATGTGCACAATTTCTTAGTGCTTTTACAGTGCAGTGACTCAGGTTTGCGTTCCAAGTTGCCTCAAATGGTCTGTCATAACACATGAAATTTCACACGGGTGTGCCCCCCGGTTAAGTAGAAAAAGTACATGCATGCATGCATATTCAATGAATCATTTCATTTAAAGCACAGGTGTGCATTCTTCTTAGAGGTTCTTTTGCTGCTATCTTTAATTTTGTACCGCGACCAAGTAAGGGCCCCCCCCCCCCCTCTAGATCTTCCCCAATAATATCTCATCGCGGGGAAGGGGGGGGTGCTTGCCGGTGATCATGCGGTACACGGCTACATGACAGAATATGCTCTTGAAAAACTTCTAAACTTGTGACTTGATGTTCTACAGTGCATTTTCTTCATTAGAACGAAATAACATCTTGCTGTAATTCATTCAATAATAGATTTTGACTGCCAAGCTTATAAAGATCACTCATTGATGGCTTTCTGTCTTGCCTTTTTCAAGTATACCATGGTTCAGCAAATGACTTGTCTTCTCTCTCTCTCTCTTTCTTTTTTTTTCATGCACAGCTCCAGAAAAAGATTCATGATGGACATACTAAATGCTGTCAGAAATAACAACATACAGAAGATCCCTAACTGTGATCCAAGCATGGTGGAGCATGCGTCTAAAGTTCTTAGAGGGCTGTTCCGAAAGGGTGAGTGAGATGTGTACATACTACAGCATTACATTTATTTCACTCCCATGACAGACATATAAGTTGCACTTAGTTGAACTGTTATATCTGCCACATTTATAGGATGTTTGTTGTATAAAAAAGTCTAATTCCTATTTTCATTGTTTATTAGCACTGATTCACATATTTCTGTTTAATGTGGGGTTGTTCAAATATTGAAATTTCTTCATTGAATGAAATATAAGTATTAAAAAAAAAACAGCTTTAAGGTATTAGTTGATTAGCAAGAACTACCATTTTATTCACATTTGAAATTTCAAATACCGTAGTTGCAGTTCCCAAAGTATTTATTTTCTTCCATGGCATACTGTAGCCACACCTTGGTATCATGCTGCTAAAGCTTTTTTTCAATGCCTCTAACACATGGTCAAAATCATTGCCTGACAGCAGTTTACGAAGTCTGTCATAACTGTATACATTGAGAAGCGTTTTATTGGTCGAAGCTGTAGTGTCACTATTTGTCAGGCTGTTTCATGCACTTAAGATTGTGCATTTTTAACTTGAAAATATTTAAACCCATTTTATATATCAAAGTGATGGGGAGTTACATGTAACAGTGTGCCATATCGGATGAGAATGTCACTAGTTTTTTAACACAGTAGCGAAGAGCTCGTTTTGCAGAAATTCTGGCATCGGCGTCATTGCTTGTGAGTGGAAAATTATCTCGTGCGTGGCCTAAAAATCTAGAAAGGTTCAAATAAAATAAGCAATAAAAATTTCTGGGGTCTAAGCGAGGGTGGAACCTAAATCATTTGTGTGGCCAGCTGGTGTTCTGCCACACAGCCATGCGTCTCTTTGTAAGTGCAGTAAAATTAACTTCCTCTGCTTGCAAGTACAATGAAAATAACTTTCATGCTTTACAAACAAATGTGTCCTGTATACAGGATTCACATGTAATATTGCGTGGCACGATCGTACATTGCCAATGGGTGTCAGAACATGCGATCATCATAACGATTGCATGGTTTAAAGCCGGACACCCATTACAAAGGCACACACTTTACTGCAGTGTATTCTCTTAAGATCACGTAGTGGGTGCATAGCAAGTTCAAAACATTTGTCGCACACAATTGATTCTTGTTTGAAGGGGCACTAAAGAGGAACAATGACTTGGTTTAGATTTACAAACTGCACTCAGAGAACGTTAATGCCATATGTTTCACTATCATAAGTTCATTATTAGAGGAGAAAATTAAAGGGACTGTCCACACGTATTTCAGTTGCTCTCCTGTTTTGTGTCGCAATAAAAAGCGTACCATGTGAAGTGTCTAACCTTGCAGTGGTTTCTCTGGAGAGTGCGTAGAAATTTTTAAAACAGAATTTTTCTGTCCGCGTTATGTCTCCTTTTCACCGGTGGGATGAATGCCCACAATACTGGTCGGTGCCAGTGAAAGTGAAAAACTGAAACTAGGTGTGGTTTTTGCAGGCTTCATCAAGTTTGGTTATTAATAAAACAAGTATCTTAGTGGTCGTTTTAGACGCACACACTTTTTGTTGTTCTTATGAGCGGCGGCGGATGTGTGGTCGTTTTTCTCCGCTGTTTGCGGGCAGGCATGCAGGCAAGTGAACACACTGCTGGCAGCGCCCACCAGGCACCTGTTTGAGCACATGAGAAAAAAAAATGCAAAGATTAGTCTCTGGCACAACCTAAAGCTGCCTCAAGTGCATAAAATACAATTTCAATTTAAATGTGTTTGTTTTTCAGCAAAAAAATTCTCTGTTGGGTGACGCCAGTGGTCAGTTTTTTTCGACTTTCAACATCAAGTAAAAATTATGATTCCTTGTTTCTGGCCTAAAAGCATGCTTGTTGCCGCCAATGTGATGAACAATCTTTTCATTTGCGTCACAATCAGAAACATTTTTCCGAGCGGTAGACAGTCTCTTTAAGGTTGAAGTTTCATTTTTAACTTCCATGCCACAATCTCTGTGTGTGACGTAAGCAATTTCAAAATATATTTTCAATATTTTCGTGGCATGGCCTTGATGAAATTTTTTGAATCTTAGCTAAGGCTATGGCACCCATAGATTACAATGTACTTAATTTTTATCGATTGGAAGCTATGTAGGACCAAGTAGACGTCTTTAAAATTTCTTACGTCACAGTGTTTAGTGCGGAAATCTAGTATTAAAATAGTAATAAAGTGAAGCTTAAGGGTCGCCCCCACCCCTTCTTTTTTGAAGTTGGAAATGGTGGTGTCCAGGAATTTTATTCAATTATACATAAACTCTTAGCTTTATTTTCGTTTTCATCATGATACGTTTCAGGTTGCTTGCTGCAAGAGTTGAACATCTCGCTTGAAGACCTGCTGAAGGCACACGAAAGGGGCAAATGGTGGGTAGTTGGATCTGCATGGGCAGGAAATGAGTTGTCATCGGGTGAGCTATCTTTTTGCTCATTTTACCCTGTTAGACTGTTGGTCATAAACAATTCACATTGTTAAAAGTTTCGGAGCTGCTGGTTGCCTACGAGAGATTGCAGCATTTCCAGCTTGTTGGCATTACTTCGTGTGGAAAATCCATCATGGCTAATATAAAGGTTACTATACATAATTACCATGTTGCAACAGTTCAAATACAGTCAACTCTCGTTAATTCAAACTAGAAGGAACCTCTGAATTCAGTTTGAATTATCAAGAAGTTTGAATTATCAGAAGTTCTCAGATAGATGACACTGGGTGAGGTAACACCATACATTATGATTAAGTATTGATTTTATCATATTTAAAATTTTTTTATTGTTTTTAAGCTCTAACTGTGCACGCAGTGAGCAGAAACCAGAGGTGCAAAGTCCACTAGTTTATTGGCCATTTACTGCTGATCAGACCTTTTAAAGAAATCGTAAATTGCCAACTGCTTCCTTGCTATACAGTCGAACCCCTTTATAAGAGACACGGATATAAGAGACAAATGGGTATAAGGTGCTTACAGTAAAATACGGGTTCATAAGAAAATGCATGCGAGGTACCCTGCTTATAAGAGACATCTCATATAAAAGATGAGAACTGCCCCTTATAAATGGGTTCAATTGTACGTGCACTAAGCTCTTTATACCAGTTGAGAAGCAGCATGGCTTACCATGCATGTGCTTAGCTCCAAACATTTATTTATTAGCAAAGCCTTCTTCCTTGAAGGCCTGAGATGCTTATTTTTCATTTTTAGACTGTTAGGATTATATAAACAGACAAATTTTCAAACAGTAGTGGGAAAGCAGCAGATCTTTTCTAGTATTAATTAGCCGAATGGAATGGAGTTTGAATTAAGAGGCTTTTAAATACATTGAAAGAATAGAGGGCCAATCAGGAAATTGAATTTTGTTTGAATTAACCGAATGTATGAATTATCAGACTTTGAATTATCGAGAGTCTACTGTGAAATTTTTCGTGTGAATGAACTGTCCTAGCATGTCCGATGCACTGCTAAACATAAAATATGAAACTACAGATTCTATCGCTTGTTTCCAAAAGTCTGTATTTCATTTCATAGCCAATTTCGGTTGCTGGACTTTACACCCTAATGACTTATATAAGTTAGGTTTGCTTTATTTATCTAATGTAGGGCTTATATCCTGCTTAGACAACTTTGGAATGTAAACCCTGTCTTTTGTTTTCACTGAGCAGATAGAAAAGCAAGCATGCCATCAGTGCAGCCAGAGTTTTCAAGCAAAATCTTGAAGCTGGCTCAGAAGCACCACATGAACACTGATGTCAGAAGAAACATCTTCTGCATTATGATGACTGCTGAGGTAAGGAAGTGCTAAAACGAGGTGGTGATGCATCTTGTTCACTTGTTTCTAACATCTCCTGTTTAATATTTGACATAATGTGGTATTGACTTGAACTAACAATAATGAGGTTAAGATTGAAATGATAGCAATGCTCTTGGAGGCAACAAGTGTGAATGCAGTATCCCTGCTTGTAAATGACCAAAGACAAGATAAGGCGTCATCATTCCTGCCGTGATAGGCTTTTCTATAAATGTCTTTCTTGCCTAGCTTGTTCTGCTTGCCTTCTGTGACGGGACATGATGTTGTCCCCCGATAATTACCGACTAAATTCATGTATCATATTTGTTTGCGTATTGCCAACACTGGCCTGTGTTGGCTGTTATAGAACCCAGGCCAAGGCCCACAGTAATGAAAGTCACCCATTGTCCGACAGCGCCCAGTTCATGCTGCTTTTGACGTTAGTAATGAAATAAGAAAACATTAACAAAAGCTCATACGCACGAACCATGGGGCACTTTGGTGAAACATCTATTACGTATTGTGCTGCTATTGCATCAAGAACATGACTGCAGGAACTTTTGTCCAGTGCTTTCCTAAGCTGACGAGTAGTGCATTGATACATGCATTGTTTTCACGGCACATCGTCCTCACTACAACTGAAATGTATGAGCTTTCACGCTCTGCTTACAAAATACTAAAAGCGACAGATCCGAATTTGTGATATCGGCTGACCCTTTCATAACGTATGATGTCGCTTTAGTGCGAAGGCCAAATATGGCCATACAAATTCCTGTCATTTGGTGATGTATGGCCAACAAATTACTTTTGCATTGTAAAAAAAATTGCAAATGGCAGATGCATGTGGCTGTATTACCACCTAAACATAGTTGCTGTATATGGAGTAAAATATTTCCATATCAAGGTAATATCCTCGAATACTGAGGCATGGTGCTACAGTAGCACCGTGCCTCCTATCCAGGGGCAGCTGTGGCCCCACTGCCTTTTCCAGTCCGTGTGCTTTTGTCGACTAGAGTCCATTGATGTCAACTAACATTAATTAGTATCTGAAGTTATAACAATAGTGTCTTCATTCTCAATGCGATGGTCATGTTGTTCGCCAGTCCAAAACATCTATCTGTGCGCTAAATAAAAGCCCTACTCATGCACATGTTGTGTGCTGCGGGTACAACTTCTGCTTCCGTATCTTTATCATGGCAGCTCAGTGCAGTAGTTGTGGTGATGGTAGTGTAATTCATGCACATTGTTCTGCTTCTGTTTGCAGGACTACCTAAGTGCCAGTGAGAGAATCATGCATCTGAACCTGACTCCAACGCAGGAGCGCGAGATGTGCCATGTCCTTTTGCACTGCCTGCTCAAAGAGAAGCAACACAACCCTTTCTATGCCTATCTGGCCCAGTTCTTCATCAAGCGCGACCGGCGTTTCTATGTAAGTGTCTGAGGTTCAAGGGATTGATTAAAATCATCACACTCATGCGGCAGCATAGCATTCAATGTTGTAGTGACTTCGCGGCCGTGTATTAAACTAAACAGCGTCATTCCGGTAGCTTCCTTCTGGGCGGTATTATAGGCGAAGGTCACATAAGGCAAGATTTCATCCCAGTTCTTGTGTTCTGTGTTGACATACATGCAGAGCATGTCTGCGAGAGTCTTATTAAGGTGCTCTGTTAGTCCGTTTGTTTGTGGATGGTACGCTGTTGTTCTTCGGTGAGCTGTACCGCTGAGCCTGAGAACCGACTTCAAGAGTTCTGCCATGATTGCAGTTCCTATATCCGTGATGAGAACTGTTGGAGCACCGTGCCGAAGGACGACGTTTTCTATGCTGAAATGAGCCGCTTCTGCTGCTGTGGGCCTGGGCATGGCTTTAGTTTCTGCATAGCGAGACAAGTAATCGGTGGCGACAATGATCCATCTGTTCCCTGCGGTAGAAGTTTGAGAATGGGCCCAGGAAATCCATTCCGATTTGGGCGAATGGCTTTGCTGGTACTTGAACAGATTGTAATAAGCCTGCCGGCTTTCCTGGGGGTGCTTTGCACGTTTGGCAGTCAGCACAGGTTTGAACATGATGTTTTACAGCAGCAGGTAGGTTTGGCCAGTAGTAACTGTTTTGCAGTCGGGACAATGTTCGAGTGTAGCCGAGATGACCGGAGGCGACTTCATCATGGCAGGCTTCCATTATTTCTTTTCGCAGTGATGCAGGGACGACGAGCAAGTATGGGCTGCTGGTGGGAGAAAAGCTTTTCTTGTATAGGACGTCGTTCCTTAAACAAAAAGATGGCAGTCTTTTGGCAAAAACTCGCAGCACGTCTTCACGTCGGCCTTCTAAGAAGTTGATAAGCGGAAGCAGGTCAGGGTCACTGCGCTGCTTCTGTGAAATAGTGACCGCATTGATGACTCCCAAGAATGCGGCGTCCATAGACTCGTCATTAATAGCAGAAGGCTCGATGGGTGACCGCGAGAGACAGTCTGCGTCGGTGTGCTTCTTTCCTGATTTATAAATTATGGTCATATCAAACTCTTGAAGTCGAAGGCTCCAGCGTGCTAAACGACCGAATGGATCTTTCAAGTTAGTGAGCCAGCAAAGCGAGTGGTGATTTCTGACGACATTGAATGAGCGGCCGTACAGATACGGTCAAAATTTGAGAACCGCCCAGACCACGGCGAGGCACTCTTTCTCGGTAGTTGTGTAGTTCTCTTCCGTGCGAGAGAGAGCTCTGCTGGCATAGGCTATCACTTTCTCGGAGTTTTCTTGCCATTGTATCAGCGCGGCGGCCAGGCCTACATTGCTTGCGTCGGTGTGAAGTGCTGTTGGCGCTTCCTGGTCAAAGTGCGCAAGAACCGGAGGTGTTTGGAGGCGTTGACGTAATATTTTGAGTGCAGTTTGTTCCTTTTCGCCCCAAAGAAAGAGGACATCCTCTCGTGTGAGCCGTGTCAAAGGCGCCGCAATAGACGAAAAGTTGGCGATGAATTGTCGGTAATAAGTGCAGAGGCTTAAGAAGCGCCTCACTGCTCTTTTGTCATGCAGTGTGGGAAACTTTGCGACAGCGTCGATTTTGCCTGGGTCAGGTCAAACACCTTCGTGGCTGACCACGTCGCCTAAGAAGCAAAGTTCACTAAAACCAAAATGGCTTTTCTCTGGTTTTAAAGTCAGGCCAGCCGAGCATACAGCTTGTATAACTGCGAATAAACGATTTAGGTGTTCTTCGAATGTAGCTGAGAAGACAATAACATCATCTAGGTAGACCAAGCATGTCTGCAACTTCTGTCCTGATAGCACAGTGTCCATTAAACGTTTAAAAGTCGCTGGCGCTGAGCATAACCCGAACGGAAGCACTTTAAATTCATAAAGACAGTAGGGCATCACGAAGGCAGTTTTCTCACGATCTCTCTCGTTGACCTCTATTTGCCAATAGCCACTTCGCAGGTCCATCGATGAGAAATAGCATGCATGCCGCAGCCGATAAAGAGAGTCATCTGTGCGTGGCAGTGGGTAGACGTCTTTCTTTGTGACTTGGTTTAACTTGCGGTAATCTATACAGAAACGCAAGCTGCCATCTTTCTTTTTAACCAATACCATGGGGGATGCCCAGGAACTTTGGAAGGCTGTATTAAGTCATCTTGGAGCATCTTCTGAACTTGCTTTTGGATCTTTTCATGTTCTTTCGGAGCCACACGGTATGGGTTTTGCCGGATCGATCTCTTATTTTCTTCAACAATGATTTGGTGCTGGGTCAGTGGTGTTTGCTTGACCTTCGACTTGCACGAAAAAAAATTTTGGAACTGGTGTATCAGCTCTAGTAGGCACTGTTTATGCGAGGGTGACAGGGTAGAGCAAATGTGGACAGAGAAAGGTGTCGAGGCTGGGATGGTCGCGTCGTCCGGTTGGAAAGTGAAGCAATCTCTGGCTTGGTCCACATCGTCGTAGTAGGCAATTGCTGTGCCCTTCTGGATGTGACGGCGCTCGTTGCTGAAGTTGGTGAAGAGCACTTCTGCCCGCCCATCAGTTAGTGCCAGAACGCCTCTCACTACGGAAACACCTTGCGTAAGCAACAGCGTGACTATTCACTCCGCTATCACCTCGTTACGGCACGGCCTATCACATAACACCGACATAAGGCAGAAATATCTCGGCGGGAGCATCACATCATCGGCTACACGTAAACATTGCAGTTGTTCTTCAGTGGCGGCGTCAACGTAAGGATGGGCGGAAAAGGTGACGATACGTTCTGGAATGTTGATGACAGCACCGTACTCTCGCAGAAAATCCATACCCAAAATCAGCTCTTTACAACAGTCCAGTAAAATGACAAAAGTGGCATTGAAGCTCGAATCACCGATTACGAGCCAAGTGGTGCATTTACCGGTTGACATCATTAGCTGTCCACCAGCACTCCTTATGCTCGGCCCACTCCACAGCATCTTGACCTTCTTAAGGCGATCGGCGAGCTCTTGTCACATAATAGAAAAGTCAGTACCAGTGTAAACCACCAGTGCTGTTACATAGTTTTCGTCTATAATAACGCTCAGGTCGGCACGTACAAATTCATCGGCATTAGTACTCGTGGTTGTCGTCGTCTTCGTCACCACCGTCGTCATGTCGTCTTTGAGTAGAGGCAAGGGGGTCTCTTTGGCATCTCAGCAATTGACAACCTTGCCTCCTCCGGAGGTCGTGGCAGTTAGTTTTCCTGGCACGGACTTGGGGAGCGGTTTCTGACGGCGTCAGCGTAACTTTGGCGATTTGGAGAAATGTGACCTCGTGCAGGTGAGGGAGACCGCCAGCGACGACGTGGTGAAGAAGTTTGGTTGGTCGGCAGGTGATCAGCACCATGGTCACGAGGGTCTTCAAAATAAAAATGAAACGGGACGAGAAAAGTTTCCAAACTGGGCTTCTAGATGACGGCAGTAGCGCGAGATGTGGCCTGGTTCGCCGCAGTGGAAACAAAGGGGTCAAAGGTTGGCAGTGTGCCACAAGTCGGTCCGGCGTACTGGCGGTTGCCACACAGGTTCCCGCTGTCACCAAGGCAAGGTAACGGGTCGTGGCTGAAAGGGTACTTCTTCTGGGGCAAGCAGATGACGGCGGACAGCGTCAGCATAGGTCAACGGACGTGGTTCAGGTGGTGGCGCTGGTGATGGAAAGGCTTGCCGTAGTTTGTGGTGCACGATTTCCGCAACAGAAGCAACTGGAGGCTCGGTAGACGGAAGGACGAGGGCTTGCAGCTCTTCCTGCAAGATTTGCCTAATCATTTGCTGAGAGAGCTTTCAAAAACGGCAGCATTTTGAGCGGCGGCACCAACTGGCATTTGGTCGGGCAGGCAGTCAAAGTGGCGGCATCGTTGCTAGAGCACCGGCTCGATGACAGTCGCCTCTTTGATAAATTCATCCACTGTTGTTGGCGGATTTCGTACAAGGCCGGCAAAAAGCAGTTCCTTAACTCCCCGCATCAGGTGACGAACTTTCCTTGCCTCGGGCATGTCAAGGTCAGCGCGGCGAAATAGACGGGCCATATCCTTAGCTAACATGGCGGCGCTTTCGTTTGGCTCTTGCACGCGGGCTTCAATCATCTATTGTGCGAGATCCCGTCGGTCCGCTCTCAAGAACGTCTCGAGAAGCTTTTGGCGGAAATTGTCCCAGGTTCGGAAGGTAGGCTCCCCGTTTTCGTACCATGTGCGAGCGCTACTTTCCATTGCGAAGTAGGCACGGCCAAGTTTCTCTTGTGTGCTCCAGTGATTTACCACAGCGCTCCGCTTGAACTAGTCGAGCCAGTCCTCGACATCTTCATACGCTTCTCCACGGAAGACTTCGGGAACACGAGGAGGCTCAAAGGTTACCTGGAAAAGAAAAGTCGTCTGAGCAGGAGGAAGATTCACCAGGCGTCCCGAACAATGCTTTCCTGCATCAGGTTGCAGGCTCCAGCACCTCCACCAGTGTCGCGACGTGAAGGCAGTGGTCGTTTTGAAGAAGCTGAGAAAGCAGCTTTCTCATTGTATAATTGTCTGTAGAATTTAAGTTGTCATGTACATATCATCTTTTGATGCTTCCCTTACGCAATGCCTTGGATGGCCTGGGAGAAACTTCAATTTAGTAAATAAATAAATAATGCTGATTTAGTTGAAGTAAGCTTTTCTTACATAGCAGTGAGCTTGACTTGTACTTCTGTTTCAGATGAGCCTGCAGTGCGCAGTCCTGGGACAAGTTCAAAGAGTTGGATCAACTTAGCCCACAGCTCTCACCAATCTAGCCGAGTTTCTAGTCATCTTGCTGTCACAAGAGGCCCTGACACTGGCTGTTCTCAAGGTGTGAATGATGGACTGTGTTTATTATGCATACTAACCATCATGATTATGAAGAATTTTATTAGTTGAGTCCACTGCCAGTTTTCCGTATGCCCGATTTTTTGGACCTTAAATATACGGACGCTTTTGCGGCACTGTCACCTGCCCCATAGATGTCATTGTGTGGAAACTTCTGAAATTCTTCACACGGAAACTCTTTGACATTCAATTTTTTGGGCTTTCTGCCCCAAACTGCATGTCCCAAGTGGGAATAAGTGAAGCCCTCATCTTTGCCATGTCTATTTTGTGGGTTTTAACCAGTGCTTTTGCGAGTCAATTCGTCGAAGTGGGATTCCCGGCATGTACCAGACATATTCACAAAAGCCTGGGCACACACCAAAATGTCTGATAAGTGTACTAGGAGGCATTAAAACTGTTTTAGACATTGGTGTGGTGATTCAACTGTTGAGCATAATAAGAATGCATGAATCCACTTTTTTGGACTGCTCGATTTTTCAGATGATTTCACAGTCCCTAGGGAGTCCGAAAAATCGGATTTTGACTGTTGGGAAGTGTAAACAATCTTTGAAAGCTCTGTGTAGATGGAGATAATATCGATAGTGTATAAAATAATTGAGTTAATATGTAAAACAGAGATCTGTACACACTTTAAATTTTGAATCAGCTGAGTATATACTTTCCTGTGATGTGTAAATGACCCTGTCTAGACATGCAACTAAAATAAAGGTCCTACATTTATTCTGTTAAGCACTATTTCATCAACTGAACAAGGACCTTTTGTGGTGGAAAAACATGCTCTGATAATTCTGGCACTAGGCATTGGCAGTCTTTAAACTATGTGGCTTTTTTTTTTTTTTTCTGGCCAACAGACAATCCAGTTTGTGGACATGAGCCCAGCACTGCTGAAATTCCTGCGAACACTTTTCAGTAGTTTGCTGCTTAATCGACCTCAGGGTGTATACGAGAAAGTATTCCTTAAGGTTGCTGATGCACCCAAGCTACGTCTGCTGAGAGAAGGGCTGTGCCTCTTCCTCAGGCATTTTTACCTCAGGGATCGAGACATGGACTCTACAGTGCGCAGCAAGCTCAAGCAGCACGCTGAGCATGCGGAGGAGATCCTTAGTAGTACTGACAAGAAAGCCATCCTGTGAATGTAAATTAAACCAGATTTCATTCTCCCGACTTTGCCCTTTGCTTTGTGTGCTGTGGTGTGCGTGTGTCTGTATATTTGTACATTGCTAGTTTTACTTGTGGAGCTTAACGTCTCAGCACAACTTGTGCTGTGAGACAAGTCTCACGTGAGGTCTTCGGATAATTTCGACCTCCTGGGGTTCTTTAATGTGCAATGAAATTGCACAGTATACGAGTGTCTAGAATTTTGCCTTTATTGATGCGCTATCGCTACAGCTGGAATCTAACACGTGTCTCTCAGGTATGAACTGCCGTTTGAACACTTAATTGCATTAGTGGCTATATGGAAATCAAGTTCAGAGCTTGGCCTGCCATACCAGGCATGCTACCAACTACGGCGCCGAAATCAGCTCTTGTGATCTAGTAACAGCTTTTGCTGTAAAAGCGTTCAATGCCTCCAATCTCGGAGGCAGTGCAAAACCACAAAAAGTGGAGAAACTTTTTCGCTGTGCCTATTCTGTGTTTCAGACTACAGGATAAACTCCAGATTCATCCTTTTGATTGGACCACAAAATAAACCACAGCTTTAATTTGTATACCACACCAAAATATGCTTATGAGTTTAGTGGAGCATGTGACCAGACTACTCACCCTGTACGTAACCATCTCTCTTGACAACAGTTTCTTTCACGAATGGCAAGGCTTGTTTGCCCTAATGTAGAATGGACCGTACCAATGAGGTTATGTTCGAATAAAGGGAGCCTGCATCCATTGATGTGAGATTAAAAAAAAAAGATGCAGGCACGAAAAGCTCAAAACACGAAGCACATCCGCCTTTATATCTTTTATCTGACCTGTGTGGTTATGAACATTGTGGTTAGAAGCAGAAGCAACAAAAGGAAGGCATGTAAAACGATGCAAAACGACCTCCTACTTGCATTGGTCACTTGATCTGAATGAAGCTCATATTTTACTTCGAATTGGCACAGACTTCCGGATTTCAAGCAGTTTTATCCAATGGGAGTGCCCACAAATCACCCTAAAAACAGCGCTGACACTACTGGAAAATAAATTATATGCATACACACACACACATTATATATAGTGTGTGTGTGTGTGTGTGTGTGTGTGTGTGTGTGTGTGTGTGTGTGTGTGTGTGTGTGTGTGTGTGTGTGTGTGTGTGCGTGCGTGCGTGCGTGCGTGCGTGCGTGCGTGCGTGCGTGCGTGCGTGCGTGTGTAATAACAAACGTGAGCATTAAAAATATTTTCTGGCCCTGGTTCATTAAATGGCAAACATTTTAAGTCGCTTTTGCCGAAATACACTTGGCGTGTAGAAAATCGCAATAAAAAAAAAAGACAGGCATGGTTGACACGGAACAAAACACGTACGCACGTACGTGGCACCATTAACTGAAACGAGCAGGTGCAGCATAGTATTGCACGGCAGCAGCACTTTTTTTGGAAACGAATACTGCGGTGCCGCCATGTGGAACTCGTGAAACAAATGCCGAAGTGCAGCGCCTCCCTCCCCGGTTCACGAAGTGCAGGTGAACATGTACTTACATGTACAGTACATGTACATAGAAATGTACTGTGATGAAAGCGACTTTTAAGTGTCCCGCACACGACAGATCATGGCGAGAAAATTTTGAAACAGCCGTCATTTATTAGGTCGTGAAAAGAGAATGAAAAAAAGAGTGGCAGTGTGCCTCAGAGTGACTACGCTTCGTTAAAACTGCCAAATAAAATCTGTAAAGCTACAACGTCGCAGTAAACCATAAGACCAAGCGGTGTGCGACCTTTTCGAACAACAAAACCACAGCTTGAGTGCTTTGCACTGCACCCCACTACCCACGCCGCCCGCGCGAAGAACGAAACTGAAACTGTGAAAAAAAAAAAAGATCTGCTAGCCAACGCCCTCTAACCGAAGTGTCTATCCGCAAAAGTATGCCGCAGCCAGCCAGCTGAACCACAGAACACCTAGTTTAAACTTTAAAGGTCGCAGTACCAGCGGTGCCAGTTATGTGGTTGCCTAATCAATGGCCAGCGCCTCGACATTAATGCGCGTTCCCGCGCTTCTCCTTGTGAACATACCTATGAGTGAACTTGCCTCGTGTTTCTTGTGCTTGGGTTATTTGGTGGGCGCGTCTGTGGCACACAGCCTCCCTGCAGTGGAGCGATGCCGCGAAGCTGTTCAGTGCCGCTGTGTTACATGAACCCCAGGAGAGACACGCGTCGCGCGGCTATCAAGTTCCACGAGTTCCCCTGCGATGCAGAGCGTCGAGAAGCCTGGCTGAAAAATATCGCTCGCGAAGGGCCGTTGGGAAAAGGTAGCAAGTGGGAGCCGAGTGACAGGTCTGTGGTATGTTCGTTACATTTCACAGAAAATGACTACAAGAAGGACACGAAGATTAAGATTCTCCTTCCGACTGCGGTCCCAACTGTATTTAACAGACACCCCGGACACATGCAAAAAAACGGGCGTCGGCCTCCGTCTGCTGTCGCCACGGGCCCAAAGAAGGCGCCGCCCAAAAAACGCCGTCGAAGAAATTTAGCCAATGGCGCAATAGTTGGGGCAAGTGATCGTGAAAGCTCGGGCCACGCCCGCTCGCAAAAACGAGATAGAAGCGCTCGTTCACGGGTCGGCCACAGCGCGGTGTGGAGAACGTAGTTTTGCTGATCGGGCTCGCCAAACATTATTTACTGGAAAGGACGGCCGAACTAGAATATTTGCCGAACAGGCCTGCCAAACTGCATTGTTTGCTGATAAGGACTGCCAAACTACAACATTTGCCAATCAGGCCTGCCAAACTATAATACTGGCCAATAAGGCGTGCCAAACACCGCTAGATCTCGTGCCTGTCTCAGAAAAGTTGAAGGAATCAATGATCAAATTGACCAAGAGAATTGCTCTTCAAGGTGAAATGTTGCGAAAATTGCGGGCCGATCGAGACAGAATGAAGAAAGGCCTCTCAACTTATGAAAACACAGACGTTGAGGTCCTTCTTCAGACATTGCAGAACACACAGAAAATAGTCAAGGCCTCTTTAGAATGAGCGAACCCTGCGGGAATGCATTTTATGAAAATGTTGCTCAAAGAATAAATGAGGATATGAGCACTTTCAAAGCAGAGGCTTTTTGAAATTCCTCTGTCCTGCTGTGCTTTGAATTTGGACACCAGATGAGCGAAGCTGGTACTACCTCCCCAATGAGAAAGCATGCTCCATGTGCAGCATGGTGTATTTGTATAGCAGGAAGTGAACTGCTCACCCATTATAGATGGCCATTGCGCTGGAAGTTATTTACGACAAACGATCGGACGAGTTCTTTGCTCTTCTTGACATGAGTTTCGAAAAAAAGTCGAGTGCAATCCCTCAAGTGACAAGTCACTTGTTATGCTTTGTCTTGAGAAAACTGCCAATGTTGTAGCGGTAGGTTTTCTTTTTTTTTCTTTCACTCTCGCTTTCTCAGAAGGTGTCGCAAGAACGCCAACTTTTCTTCAGTGACACTGGAAGTCACAAGAGTAGCCAAAAATGTCAGTTTTCGTGTGTTAGGAATAGTCACCGTGAACCAGCGAACAAGTGCTCTCTGAAACGTCTCTCGGAAAATGGCACCCTTGTTCATGCTGTGCCACACCCTATGGTGAGGGACAGCCACTCAATCTTTCAGCTCTTCCTACCTTGTAGAGTACACGCTATCTCTCCTGAGAGAAAAGTAAAAAATGGCAAAGGGCTAATTCAAGGTGCTTTAAAAAACCTTTTGAAATTCAGCTGCAGTTGCTGGTTAAGCCAGTCAGACTTCTTACGCGTGCACACATTCAAACCAACAACATAGGCAACAAGTGTGTGTGTATGGCGACACATAAAATTTTTGTTCCCAACAATTGCAACACTTCAATTCCTTCAGGAAAGCCCAAATGTCATGATAACGCTGGCCACTTGAGAAATAGACCTGCAACGACCAGCCTAATAAAGCTGATTGTGAGCGAAATAGTGTGCCCTTCATGATATTGGGGCAGTGGCATTCTTCGAGCAGGAAAGGATTTAGCGCAGCTATATGTTTAGAAATGAAGGCACCCATGAGGTAGGCCATTCCAGATGCTAACATGAAACTTTCAACTGAGCTCGCATATCTGAGGCCGCGGTCCCGAGCAGAAGCAAATCTTGAGCTGGCGCCAGTAGCTTTTTGGGCTGGATACACCGTAAGAGCATGTCGGAGAAAGGTATGACTGTCTTTTTTCCTGCGTGTACACACGCATTGTTTTAAATTTTGTCGAAAAGGGGCCCTGCAACACTTTTTCAGCATGGTCAGAAAACGCTGATTGGTAACCGAGGTTCCTGAGAACACGTGAGCCTAATACTATAGCGAAGCACACGGCCTTGCATTTACAATTTATTTTCGAAGCCCGCTAGCAATCATGCCTTCTTTCTACTAACCATGCCTTGTACTCAAACGACAATGCCATTTAGCCGAACTCAAGGTCATTGGTTCGATTGAGTATTTTGCGCTGCATGCCCGCTCAGAATTGCACTGAGAGTAAGCTGTGCTTTCAAAGAGAAAAAAAGTGCCGCCATATCCACGAAGTGAATGATGATGAGTGGGCGAAGCTCCGGAGGTAAACCTGGTAAACCATGAATCCTCTGTACATTTTGCCCACTCGATTTTATTACATCGCTCCCCCTAGCGTACGTCGCCGCACTAAATCGAACGATTGCCTTCAACCAATGACACGCGCCATATGTGACATCATTCCTATTTTATAAGATCTCGCGTCTTTCATCAACTACAAGTACCGCTTTCTAGTTTATAACATCTTGCATCTTTTCATCATCAGCTACAAGTACCACCATCTAGTAAACACTACAAGAACTAAACGAGAGGTGGCTACATACAGGAGACGGTACCGCCATCTAGTGAACACTGCAAGAACTAAACTAGAGGTGGCTACATACAGGGGACGGTACCGCCATCTAGTGAACACTGCAAGAACTAAACTAGAGGTGGCTACATACAGGGGACGCACAGCCCACGCCCTAAGGAGCTTCGCCCCTAAAAAGTGCTCAAGGTAATGACGTTCACATGGCGATACTTCTTTCCCCCTGCCATCCCTACCTGCCTAGCTTCAAACGAGGTTCTGAAAATTTTTGCAGCAATAAATTTGGAAGGCAATGAAGTCCTTTGATGAAGCCATTCAATGGCTACTTAAAAAAGGGTTGCAGGGGCCCTTTTGTCCTTGAACTACCCAGATTTCAAAATATAGTATTGGTGTCAGCAGTCAAGATCGATGACCAATATAGTGCCACCATGGCACTATATAGTGCCACCATGGTGGGTCATTTTGTACGAAGTACATATGTAGCTGTGCAAAATGTGTTGCCTTACATAAGGTAAGGAAAATGTAGTATATAAAGAAGCAACACATTTGCAGTCACGCTACTACCAAAACTTACACCAAAAGTGAAATAGAATAAATTTATTTGTTGCAACAGTAGTTTTACGTGTGCCTGGGCTATCTCTGTACTACCAGATGGGGTCATAGACACAGCAACTTGCACTTGCATCTCTGATACCCCAGGGATACAGAAGCAGTTGAGGGTTTTGTGGACAAGCTAGAACTGTAATAACTTGGCTCTTCTCTTTGTAAGGATGTTCACTTGTACAGAGTTGTATAATGCATACAGATATGCAGTCACTATGCTGTCTTCAACTTCAGCTCTAATAGTAGGCCAGTGAGAAGCAAGTGATAGAATAGTAATGCTGTAAGGAATAACTGATCGATAAAATTCACAGTATCTTAAATTCAGTTTTGTGTGTGTGTCTTTTTCTTCTATGACTTGGCAAAAATACGATCAGCCTATAGGAATACAGATGGAGGAGCTGTACAAAAAGAACAGCAATAATGGGTTTTCTTTATTATTGCATCACTTGACTCGTTCATTGTCCACGGTGATGCTCATCTTGTGACATCTTGCTTCTTCTCATTTCAGATGTAAACTCCACCTTGAGTCTTCGTGAATCAATCATGGCACATTTTTTTTTACTTCCGAGCGCCCCGTGATGGAGCGTGCAATGCTTGTCCTGTACTTGCACTGCAATGTGGGAACCGAAGTTGCTAAGCGGTAGGCATACAGATGGCACTGTGTATAGGGAGTACCGACTTGAAAATTTTCATTTGTAGTTTGTGTGTGTGTGTGGAAAACTAAATGCCGAGCTCACAAAGGGCGGTTTCACAAGAGATCGAAGATGCATGTCCAGTCGATATTTTTATTTTTTCTGGGTTTTTTATATGTTATGTAAGCACGTTCAAAGTGCGTGGGACCAAAAGTATTATTTACAAAAAACGCTCCCAGTATACAAAAAGAAATATTTGAAGGTGGCTCCGCAAGCGTTCCGATTTCGCTTTTTGCTCACCGCAATATTTTTGGATTTCACATCTGAATTTAATGCGAACTATAAAGATTGTGATGGATTTTTTTTCTGTTGGTTTTAATGTGCAATACTGTTAACTTTATCTATGCTTTTTTGATGTCCTTGAAAGAGAAAAAATTTACAAAATGGCAAACAAGGCCCGAATCAAAAAGCTTGCTATGTTTGATACGCTTTGTCATATTTGCTATTCTGCACAGATACCATAAAACTGTTGCGTTTAGAAAAAATTCTTTGCAATATTTCTGTGGCAGATCATTTACCTATAAGCAGTGTAAAAATATACATATATATATAATTGAAGCAGCGAGTTAAAAAAACAATTAAAAAAAATCAAATTGAAAAATCTCCGGTTTCAATCTTGATAAATATTTTTTATCAAAAAGCACTTATGCCAGTAATACATGGTTTCATCATCGTATGTCCTCATTTGCTTTGTTTTACGAGGTATAACGGGCCAAATTAAACCTTGCTGTGTGTTCACATGACAGTGCTCTTAACAGTTTGTCGCAAACGAAATTCTCAGAAGAAGCAGGAGAAAGTTAGCATATGTTCCCCAGGCCTAGGTAAACGGCCTTTTTTGTGACCTCTCAAGCGAGCTATTGACACGCCCCTCTGGCTGTAACTTGACACCGAGGGGCAGCTGTGGGTGAAGCCGAACAAGGGCACCGGACAGCGCTTGACCACTGGGGGAGATGGAGAGCCAAGAAGACGACGCGGCGATGGCTTCAGTCGCAAATTGCTCTCCATGCTGAGAATAAGTCTTGTACTCAATGTGTATTTGTGCCACCCTTTTGTTTGTTCATGATTAAACAGTTATTCCTTACCCGAACAACGCATCGGCATACATTTCAACGAACGTGAACAGCAAATGGTTATCAGCTTGCATTGTGCGCAAACCTACAGTACAAAAAATTATATCGATGTAGTGAAACTTCACTTTGGTGGCCTGTCTCCAGGAAAAATGTATTTTTAGATTTAATTTGTCTCGAGAGTGCGCGAGTGTGGGCTGCTTCCGCTCTCTGAAGGGCTAATGCATACACCGTTTGTAGCCTACAATGTTGCCTATTAGGATTAGAAGGTTCTCAAGAGCGAATAGACTGTGCTTTTTGTGCATACCAACCAACATGATTGTGAATTTTATTACAGCCAATCGTTGATTTTAAGATAAGATGGCCGATTTTTCGGACAAGCTTAAAAATTTGAATACTTTCACGACACTGTCACCGGTCCCAAAGACGTCAGTGTATAAAAATGTTAAACTTCAAATGTGGAAACTCTTCAATGTCCAATTTTCCAGGCTTTCTGCCCAAACTGCATCTCCAAAACGGCAATAATTGAGCCCTCTACCTCTGTTGTGCGTATTTTGGAAGTTCTACTTCCAACTAGCGGTTTCGCTAGTCGATTCATTGAAGTGTGATTTGCGGCATGTACCGAACATATTCACAAGTGCCTTGGCGCACACTAAAAGACCTGATAAGTGTATTGGGTGGCATTAAAGCTGTTATAAACATGGCTGTAGTGAATGGGCTGCTTGAGTGGAATAAAAATGCGTCAATTCATTTTTTTCAGACTGCTAAATTTTTCGCGTGATTTCGTGGTCCCTAGAAAGTCCGAAAAATCTGACATTGACTGTATGTTGTTGGGAAGTGTCAATATACTTTAATAGCTCTTTGTAGCCAAAGATAATATAGATAATGTATAAAATAATTTAGATAACATGGTACAGAGATCTGTGTACGTTTTAGATTTTGAGTCAACTGAATATGCCTATATGTTTGTTTCCCGTGATGTGTAAATGACCCTGTGTCGACATGCAACTGAAATGTGGATTACCCCTACTCTTTATGAAAGTCATACATTTATTCTGCTAGGCACTATGTCACTAACTGAACAGGTACCTTTTATGGTGCAAAACATGCTGGCTCTAGGCATTAGCAGTATTTAAGACATGTGCCATTTTCTACTCGACAGATAATCCAGTTTGTGGACATCAGCCTGGCACTGCTGAAGCTCCTATAAACACTGTTCAGTAGTTTGCTGCTTAACCGACCGCAAGGTGTCTACGAGAAAGTATTCATTGAAGTTGTTGATGCACCTAAGCTACGTCTGCTGAGAAAAGGGCTGTGCCTCTACCTCAGCCATTTCTTCCTCACGGACACAGACATTGACTCTACAGTGCACAGGACTGACAAGAAAGGCATCCTGTAAATGTAAATTAAACACCATTCTCCAGACTTTGCCCTCTGCTTCGTGTACTGTAGTCTGTGTGTGTGTGTCTGTGTATTTTGAACATTGCTAGTTATGTTTGCGGGGCTTAAAGGAGTATTGAAACGATTTGGAGGCATGGAAAAAGGAACATTATTCGTTTCCTTCGTATGCAATGTCAACACTCTCGACACAATGGAGTCAAACAACACATATAAAATATTTTATTTTGATTTTAAAGTTTTCCTTGCTGAGCATCTGCATGGCAGCTCCACTGCAATGGACATTATCCCGACTATCCGAGACACTTCCCGAATTGGCTAGCTGTACCTCTTACATGCAGCCTAAATCACAGAAGTCACTGTCGAGGTCACTGCATGACAATCCAATCATCGTTGTTTACGTACACCATGAGCAGATTAGAGATTTGGAGTTAGTAGGTAATCACTCGTTGGTGCCTTTCTGTGACGTCGTACTATTATGGCACATCGCTGAAAAGCCAAGCCCTAGATATCCAGACAAAGTTTTTAAGGTAGCAGTAATAAAAAAAATATATTCAATCTATTCACAGGCATGACAACCCTCATTTTATGTTTCTACAAACCATGTCAAGTGCAAAAAAGTGTATGATGCCGCAATGCCAGAGGCAGTGCAAAACCACGTCTAGTGGAAAATTTTTTATGGAGAAGTAGCCTTGAGAAGACTTAACTGAAAAGAAAATTGGCTGCAAATGTATTATTACAATGCATATTTGTATAGATTTGTACATTGCAAAGCAAGTGTTTAGCATTTTGGGCATATTTCTTTCTTTTACTTTTTAAATTTTTGTATTCTTTGAGATTAAGTGCTGTACCCTCCCGTTTCATCGCCTATGGGTGGTTGGGACTTTGACAGCTTTTTTTCCAGCCACTTTTTTTCACCATAAATGTTTGTTTTTTGGTGAATATAAAGTTCTTTGATTGATTGAAATGTCGTGGAAAGACGATCGTCTTCTGCTGGCCTAGTGCCCATTTATGTTTTGCCTTGCCTCAGACGGCACCATGCTGAATTGGCCGCACCTGACTGGCATTAATAGAAGAGAGAAAGAGAATAAAACATTTATTTGCGACCGAGAAAGGAATGTCGCTGAGTGAAATCCTTAGTCCGGGATCCCATTGTCACGGGCCGCTGTCCTCGCTCGTCTCACGAGGGCCTCTTGGGTCTTCGGATCCTAGCTGGACAGAGCTGCCTCCCACTCTACAGTGTTGTGCTGAGCTCTGGGTTGTAGAGGTGGATTGTGTGGGCATTCCCATACCACGTGGTACAGGGTGGCTGTTTTAGTGACGCATAACCTGCACTGTGGTGCATATGTGTCGGGATCTATCTTGGACAGTATGTGTGGATTGGAGTAAGACAAGGTCTGCAGGCGACGCCACGCTACCCGAGATTCTTTACTGAGCTTTGGCCCCAGGGGCGGAAGTTTCCGTCTTTCGAGTCTTTGATGTTCTAGAATATCTGTCCATGTTAGGAGCGAGTCCATATGCATAGTCAAGAATGGGTGCGATGTGCCGGGGTTGGTGGTCCGGAAGAGTAATTCTCGGGCCGAGGCATGAGTGAGCTCATTGCCTCTAACTCCGCAGTGGCCGGGTATCCATATCAGCTGTTTCCATTCACCCTCTGAGCATGAGGACGAGAGTTGTGTAAGAAGTTGATGTGCAATGGGGCCAATGCAGCCTTTACAAAAATTTCGGTAGGCTGCTTTTGAATCTTTTAGAGGGAAGGTGGACCTTGAGTTTCGTAGGGCGAGGGCGATTCCTGCTTCTTCCATACTAGTCGTGTCTGTGTCCTGGGCTGATATACAATCTACCTGTTTTCCACAATGAATGACGCTTGCTGTATATTTGCCGTTCACTGGTCCAGCTGTATCGACAAAGAAGGCGCCCTCAGTATCTGAGTAGTTGTCGTGAACTTTTGCCCATGCCCGACATTGATGTTCGTGGAACTGAGGAGATGCATGTTGCGTGGTAGTGGTTTGATGATGTCCTGCCTCCATTTATGTGGGATACGTTTTTTTCCCCTTCTCTCAATGAGGGCTTCGGTGTGATGTTCTGATAGTGCTTTTCGTCCCGTTTTAGTGATGCCGAGATTTACTTGATTAGTGTGGTGTGCACGGAATAGTTCTGATACGGGATTGTGGAGCCCCATTTGAAGCAGACGTTCCGAAGATACGCTGCGTGAGGATATGGGCGCCATCTGGCAGTGCCGTCGGGAAACATGAGCTTGTGCAGAACCCAAGACCACTGCCAGGTGGCAGCACTACATTGTCGGCAGAGCCCTTCTTCATGCATAGCGCACATTGTATTTCAGTGCACCATAAGAAACAACAGATTTTTCGTGCATAGTGTCGCATTTTCAGCACAGCGTAAAAAACACTATCTTTAGCACTATTTATCTATGTATTTTCTAATAAAGAAACAGATGACCTAATACTTATGTATTAATGTTGCGCCTCGAGATATGTGTAATATTTCCTTTTTGATCTATAACGCTCACAAGTATAAACACAGCGACCAATTGAAGATGGCTGGCTGGGTGTTCAAGTTGAATTGTGAGACAGATCCACAATTCCTGCATTGAAATATCCCAAGAAAGATTATCGTCATTAAAAAATGCAGATTTTACCTTCAAGTCATTGGTCGCAGCAAGCTAACGGGGAAGACTGGTAGTAGGCACGCATGGAGGAAGGACAAAGCTTTAAAAACTTTGCTTCCTCCATGCACAGAGCCAATGTCAGAAAATTGATCGGTGGCCGTTGTTGCTGGTGGGGGCCTGTGGCTCCCGCTACTTTCCCTCTGCCCATACGGCGGCCGCGCATTGAAGCCAGCAAACGTTGCGCACTGCAACAGTGACGTCAAACGTTCCGTTGAGGCGGGTAATTTGTAGTGCCCTAACCCGATGCGGACCACTAAAACGCAATTTTATTTCAAAATGAGCCCTTCCTTGACACAAATATAACACTGCAAGGTTTCTGGACCACTATTTCAACAATAATCGTCGATTTAATAGTTGCCTTCAGTGTCGCTGTAACACGACTGAAACTTGCATATTTCCAAGACTGAAACAGATCGCCCCGCACCTACATGAGCCAGGGTAGCAGTGGCAAGGCTTTCGGCTTAAAAAAAAAAAAAAAAACACGTTGAATCCGGAGTTCGCTCTATTTCTTTAAACATTTTACTCCTCAAAAGGCCACGAAAGCGCAGGAGTGCAGCTACACGGCGATGTTTTCTGGATGTTGCATTTATATCATTAGTCGGCAAAAAACTAGAATCCATTAGATTTTCTCGTCTGCAGTGCACACGACGAAACCCCATTTATGCTATGCCCCATCCATAGAGTTTCATACGAAGAGTTTCATATGAAACTCTATGGTCCCATCGGAACAATCAACGTGAGAACTATGAATGCGGATCTCGGAGGAGTTGTATCTCAGCTTGAAATAAATTACCTAAAGGCTAAGAAGGCCTCAACAGGTGGTGACACGGTAGGACCAGAGAAAACCGACTTCACCAACAGCTGGCCCGTCGATTAAGTTTACCAACTTTATGGTGTGCCCTGGCATGTTCCGTTAGCCGTCATCGCAAAGAGCCGCGTTTTCTGCGCCACACGCACATGCGTAAAGAACCGTGCGACTTTCCGATGAGGACGCCACTGTTCCTCCATGCATAACTCCGACGCCGGTTCGTGCCAGCGTAATGTGGTTGCCGCTGCATTAATGCGTGCTCCCGTGCTTTTTCCTGTGAACTTATCTATGAGTGAGCTTGCCTCGTCTTTCCTGTGCATGCGTGAGGTTTAGTTGGCGCCGGTAGTGGCAGATAGCCTCTTTCAAGTTCCGCGATGCGGAACTGTTGTGTGCCGTTCTGCCACTCAACCACCGACAATAACGGCACTGTGAAGTACCACGAGTTCCCCAGCGACCTACAGCGTCGAGAAGCCTGGCTTAAAAATATCTCTCGCGTAGGGCCGTCGGGACGCAAGTGGCAGCCGAGCGACAGATCTTCGGTATGCTCGTTACACTTTACAGAAAATGACTACAAGAAGAACAAGAAGCGTAGACTTCTGCTTCCGACTGCGGTACCGACTGTGTTTCCTGAATCGCCCAAAAACATGCAAACAAGGATGCTTCTGCCTTACCATGTTATTGTGGCGGGTCCACATAACGCGCAGGCCTGGAAAAGCTGTGGAAGGCACTTAGCCCATGGCGCAGTAGTTGAGGACAGTCATTGTAAAAGGTACGACGAAAGCCCCAAGACTGAAAGTTCCTCGCACTCTTGCAAAAACGTAATAGAAGCGATGGTTCCAGCGTGTGCCGCAGAGCGGCGCGGAGATTATAGTTTTGCTGATAAGGTTTGTCAAACTACATTATTTGCTGATATGAACTGCCAAACTGGATCATTTCACAATCAGGACTGCCAAACTACAATATTTGCCGATCAGGCTTGCCAAACTATACTACATCTCACACATATCTCGGAAAAAGCGAAGAAAGCAGTGAACAGTTGGTCGTCAGGAAGAACTGTTGAAAAAATCGCGGGCCGATCGTGACAGAAGAAAAGAACGCCCATCAACTTATGCAAACCAACAAAGACATTGACGCCTGTGTTGAGGTGTTGCAAACTGCACATAAAGGAGACAAAGCCCTTCTACAATAAGGGAATCCCGTGATATAAGTTTCATAGAAGTCTGTTCAAGCAAATAATAATACAAACAAGCCTAAAGCAGAGGCATTTTCAAGCTCCCATACTGTGCTTTCTTAAGTGTGTAGGAGAAGCGACCAGCAAAGTCTGTGTTACTTCATTGATGAGGCTGCATCTGCATGTGGAGCGTGAAGAAGTATCTGTGGTACGGGAAGTAAACTGCTCACCCATTATGTATTAGACGGTCATTGCGCAGAAAGTTAGTTATGACAAACAAGTGGATAAGTTGTTTAGCCTTGTTGACATGAGTTGCGAAGAAAATTTGAATGCATTTCCTCACCTGGCAAATCACTTTGTCTTAGTAGGACAGCCAGCTGTTGATGCCATACCAGTGCACTTTGCTTTTTTGTCAAAAGGTGCCTCAAGAACGACAATTTTTTAAATGAAATTTGAAGTTGAGAGAGTACCTGAAAATGACTTTTTCATCTGTTGGAGAATAGTCAATGAAAACCAGAAAACAAATGCTGCTCTCTTAATACGTCTCTCAGAAGATAGCGCCCTTGTTCATGCCATGCCGTACCCTACGTGAAGTGGTACCCACTCCGTCTCCACTCACCTCAGTGATTCATTGACTTATATGTGGAGTTTAACGTCCCAAAACTACCATATATGATTGTGAGAGACGCCGTAGTGGAGGGCTTCGGAAATTTAGACCACCTGGGGTTCTTCAACGTGCACTTAAATCTGAGCACATGGGCCTACAGCATTTTGGCCTCCATCGAAAATGCAGCCGCCGCAGTCGGCATTCCATCCCGCAACCTGCAGGTCAGCAGCCGAGTATCTTAGTCACTAGACCACCGCGGCGGGGAAGCCCACTCACCTCGTAAAAAGTATACATACCATCTCTCTTTAGCGAGAGATGCCAAACAGCAAAGCGTTCAAGGGATTTTTTTAATTAAAAGAAAGTTTGAAATTCAGTTGGAGTTGCTGGTTAAGCCATTCAGATTTCTTACCTCTGCACACATTCAAACCAACAACACAGTAAAAAGACTTTAGGACGACTGAAACATTTTCTCTCCCACCAATCGCAGCACTTCAATTCCTTAAAGAAAACCCGAATGTCATGCCAACACATGCTATACTGAAAATAGACCTGCAACAGTCAGTCTTACAAAGATGATTGTGAGTGAAATAGCATGCTCTTCATGATTTTAGGGCAGTGACATTCTTCATGCAGCAAGAAAAATAACACAGCTATTTCTTCCAAAGAGAACGCACCCATAAGGTTGGCCATTTGAGATGCTAACACATGCATTCTACCAGCTGCTGCTGACCACGCTAACAAGAAGCTTTTAACTGAGCTCGCATATCTGATGCTGCAGTCTCAAGCAGCAGCAAATCTTGACATTGCACCAGTAACTTTTTGGGCTGGATACATCATAGCTGGATACATCGTAAGAGCATGTGAAAGCAAGGTACGACTTTTTTCCTGCATGTGCACAAGCGTTTTAAATTTGCCTTAAAGGGGACCTGAAACACTTTGAGCATGGTCAGAAAACGCTGCTGATCGGTAGTCGAGGATCCTGAAAACATCCAAGCGAAACATGATAGCACAGCACGTGGCCTTGCATTTACAATTGATTTTCAAAGTCATTCCTTTTTTTTACTAATCATGCAATGTACTTAAATGACCTTGTCATATAACAAAACTCAAGACCATTGGTACTGCACAGTGTTGGGCAATGTGAAGAGTACACATTGCCATCTAATGAATGCTTGTTTTCTGACAACTTTATGTTCAGGGAGTGACCAGTTTGCCCAGTGTAGACATGACTGCAGGGAAAAGGAAACTGGTATACAACTCTCATTGTGGACGACACAAACAGTGATGTGTGCTTTAGAGTACATGTCACCATTGAGAAAATTGGTCATTGCCTGAAAGTAAGGAAATCGGAACACAAGCGTTCATTGGAAGGCAACTTGGATTGGCATGCCGCCCAACACTGCAGAAAATGGATGCACCCGCAACTTTCGTGACGCCATATGTATTTTCAGGCATAAAAAATGTCTGAATACTAGAGAAATTGTTGAGGCTCATCATCACATTAATAAAAGATGCAATCAACATGTAAGCATGCCCTCAATAGCACTGCATGACAACAAAATTTCTTTCCTCAAGTGTTGCATCAAATAGTAAAAAAGCGTGTCTGTGACCACTGTTTTTCTAGCTGTTTCTAATCTTTGCTGGAGCACATATCTTTCCTTTGGCTGTCAATGATGTACGAGCATATGGGGTCATGGTTTAGTGTGCATTGTTTCCAATAAAGTTAGCTGTGAGAAGGCACTGTGTAGTGTGCTACACTTCTTTTGTCCTTGTTTTTTGCACTGCCCATTTCAAAGATGCATAACCAACTCCTACTTTCCCAAATGTCAATTCTTCTTACTTCCCATGTCTTTAGAGAGTTATCAGGGAGTACTTTATCTAAGCTGCACGTGGTGCAGACGCTGAGATATGGTGTTGCATATATAAAAATGCTGCTTTCTCTCTCTCAGTCTCCTTTTTAGAGGGAAAAGCTCCTTAAGGCGTGGGTCTGTCCATCCCTTGTATGTATATATGTAGTAGTACGTAGCCACCAGTGGTACGTACTCTGTGGCATCCTGTGTGGCACATACCCGCTCTAGAGCGGGTATGTGCCACAGAGGATGCGAGATAGGAGATGGCGGAGACTGGAGTGCTCACTAGCTGGACGCATGGACGAACAGACAGACTAGCAGACAGACGGACGGATGGATAGACGTACGGATGCACGAACAGACAGATGGATGAATGGACTTGCGGACAGACACATGGACAGACAGATGGACGCATGGATGGAGGCACGAATGGTCGCGAGGATCGGACGGAAGCAAAAACGAACGAACGGGCTGAGGGATGCTTCGCCCCCCTCATCATTATTCACTCTGTGGATATGCTGAATTTTTAAATCTCTTTTCTTTCCTTATGTTTATTTCTTTCCCTGTTTCGCATTGCGTAATACTCCCTCACTATGTAAGCATTCGGTTTTATTATGAGCAGTGGCATCCCCACAATACTGTTTTCGGCCTGAATAGGCATGGCGTCTTTGATGCTATTTCCAGTTTAATAACACAGACGGCTGAGCTAGTCGGTAGATGTTGATGGTAAAGAGACAGGGCGTGCAAACCCGGACATTGCATTGCTTTGCGAGACAAGTTTTGGTTTTGGTGCCTCTTTCTTTTTTATCTTTTAACTTGGCAGAAAGTACCACTTGTACTATATACTTCCATTTCAGAGGGGCCTTCAATGCACAGTATCGGACAAGTTCGAGGGGTTGCATCGACAGAGTTCACAACCTCTAACCCAATCTAGCCAAGTTTCTAGTCATCTTAATGTCACAAGAGGTCCCATCACTGGCTGTTCTCAAGGTGCAAAGACTGGACGTGTTTACGTGTTCTTGTGTGCTCTTTGTGCATACTAACCAGCATGATTAAAAATTTTGATATTTTGTTGGGAAGTGTGAAAATACTTTGTTAACCCTCTGCATATGGAGGTATACTGCATACTGTGTAAAACTTGGAATACTTTTGCACGTTGTACTCTTGGTTAGATTTGCTTTTCGTTTGCAATACAACTTGTACGTTCTATATGGTGTAGGTTTGTTAAGACCTGCCAGATGCATTGTTGGTCCCGACTTCACTGTGTAGTGCTTGTGTCATTGACGTGTGAAGTTTATTTTAGTACTCCATGCTGCATCGGCCTTTTGGTTGAGTTAATGTGTGACAGAGATTTGTGTACATTTTCAAATTTGAGTGAGCCGAAATATATACCTTCGTGTGATATGTAAATGACCCTGCGTAAACAGGCAGCTGAAACTTGGGGTCACCTCTGCAGTTTCGTGAAAGCCCTATCCTGATAGGCATAATGTCACCAAGTGCACAGACACCTATTATAGTGTAAAACGTGCACTAATAACTGTGGCTCTAGGCATAGGCAGCCTTTAAAGATAATTAACGGGACGTCGCTATTTAGTCATTTTCTGCTCAATAGACGATCCATTTTGTGGACGTAAGTCCAGTGCTGCTCAAACTCCTGCGAACAAGTGTTTATCAGAAAGTATTCCTGTAAGCGGCAGATCCACGCAAGCTATGTGTGCTGACAAAAGGGATGGGCATCTTCCTGATGTATTTCTTATTCATATACCAATACACAGACTCCACCGTGTGCAGTACACTCAAGCAGAGGAGGCCGTGTGCAGTGCTGACAGGAAGGCCATCCCGTAAATGTGAATTAGATTTCATTCTGCAGGCTTCGCCTATCACTTGGTGTGTTCTGGTGTGTTTGTAGGTGTGCTTGACCATTTTGCTAGGTCAATGGGGTCTAACATCTAGAAGGAGCCCGTGCTCTGATAGGCATTAGTGGAGGGCTCCAGACAATTTCGACCTCCTAGGCTTCATTGAAACACGACCACACAGCTAGTATCGAACTGGCATCTCTCAGGCCTACAGCCGAGCACCATAACCACTAGGTCGAGGTGGTACCTGTTCAAACACATCCTTGGAATTGCAATAACAGTTCGAGATTATGCACACATGCTACTAAAAGCAAGACCTTGGCCTGCCATGCCAGGCACACAACCTAAGGCCTGCTGTATTTATCATTTTAAAATGTGTTTTCAACATTTGTAGTTGCATGTATATAAATCAGCACACATTTTCAGGTGAGAGCAACAAGTCTATGATTTTAGGTAGATTACTAAGAGAATGGAAAAATAACGTAATACATTGCCCTGCTGAGTGAGTTGGGTCGTATTCCTTAAAACAAAAGCAGAGCACAAATAAAGACCAGAAGACGAGACAGGTGCTTGCTACCGACTGGTTTAGTACGAAAAAAATTGAGGGAGTTGGTATGTTGCACGCACGCCTGCACACACATCAAAAAGCAAATCCATCCAAAGGTCTGCTACAGATTACGGCAAAGCAGCTCAAACGCACTCCCCCGAAAACACTCGGACGTCTGGCTGACACAATTTGCGCTCATTGAGAAGTGAAGCTCCTTAGGGCGCCTATGCCTTGTCGCCGTACGTCACGCTACACGAAACCGAAACTGAACACCTGCACAACGAGAAAATCTGTGTAATAAACAGACTTTACATCAATGAAGTACATGACAGTGTAATACACGAGCACCTGCATCGTCCGTTCATCTGTGCATCTGTCCATCCTTCATACTAGTTCACGGCATTAACATATACGTTATCGACTTTGGGACCTAGCTTTTCCCACTCGTCATCATTGATTTCATGAAGATGCATGGTTTTTCATGTGAAACACCTCCAAAAGCTTGGGAGTGAGGGTTTCTCTGCTGCCTTCCAGCACCTTCATCCTGTCTTAAATGAAGGTACGCAAAATTCTAATACCTCTCATTCCTTTTTTGTGTGTGTGTGTGTGTGTGCATTCTGCTTTTCGATTTATAGAATGACAAGTTTAGGTTTCTGTATAAAAATGTGTATTTTTGTAACTTTGGACCAGTGATTGTCGGAGATCCAGAGAAAGCCTCAAAATTGTAAGTCCTCGCTCTCTACAAAGGCAAGATGGAAGCGCTCGTTCCTGAGTATGCCACAGAGTGGTGTGGAGTACATAATTTTGCTGTAGTGCCTAGAATATATAGTTCTGCTTATCACGCTAGCCAAACTACATCATTTACTAATAAGGGCTCTCAAACTATAATATTTGCCGATCGGTCATGCCAAACTACGCTTGGTCTTGTGCCTTTCTTGCATATATTGAAGGAAACAATGAATAAATTGACAAAAAAAGTTGCTCTTCTAGGAGAACTGTTGAAAAAATTGTGGGCCAATCAAGACAGAATGAAGAAACGCCTCTCAACTTTTGAAAACAATGAAGACATTCAGTCCTTTTTCAGGCATTGTGGGATGCAAAAAAGAAGATGAGGCCCCTGTACAATGGGTGAACCCTGAAGGAATGCATTTTATAAAATGCTTGCTCAGAAAAATAAATGAGGATATGAGCACGTTCAAAGCAGAGGCCTTTTAAAGCTCCCTTGTTGTGCAACGCTTTGGAAGTATGGACACCCAACCGGCAAAGTTGGTGTTACCTCATCAATGAAGGACCGGCTACTTGTGGAGTAGAAAACGCTACCTGTGAAAAAGGAAGCGTACAGCTCACCCATTATACGTAGATGACATGCTTATTGCGCGGGAAGTTATTTACAACCGAAGAAAATTCCAGCGCAGATCATCAAGTGGCAAGCCACTTGCGCCTCATCTTGACAGCTGCCGATGTCATACCAGTAAGCTATTTTTTTCAGAAAGCACCTCAAGGACCACCACTTTTCTTCAGCGACACTGGAAGTCGTGAAAGTAACCGAAGATGTCAATTTTCACATGTTGAGAATAGTCGCCGACAAGCAGAAAACAAATGCTTCTCTCTTTGAACGTCTCCCAGAACATGGCACGCTTGTTCATGCCGCGCCCTACCACCTGCAAAAGGCCATCCACTTTGTCTTTAGACCCCGCTCAACCTTGTAAAGTCTACATATTATCTGCCTTGAGCGAGAAATGACAAACGACAAAAGGCAGTTGCTGTTGCAGTCACAGTTGCTGGTTAAAGCCAGTCAAATTTTCTACCTGTGTACACATTGAAACCAACAACTTGGAGAAAATCAAAATGTGTAGGGTGACTCAAATATTTTCTCGCACAACAATTGCAATGCTCAGGTCGGAAAAACAAAATGTCATGTCCATGCATGCCATTCAGAATTGGACCTGCAACGACCAGGTTTCTGAAAATTATTGCAAGCGAAATTGAGTGCCCTTCATGATAGCAGTGGCATTCTTCAAGCAGTAAGGAATAGAAACATGGCTATTACTCCCAATCGGAAGGCACCCCTGGCCGTATCAGATTCCAACGCATGTACCCTACCAGTTGCCATGTAGGGTGCTATCATGGAGCTTTCCAACACAACACAGGTCTAGAATTTAACTTAAACCTGAATCAATAAACAAAAGTGTTTCTACATTTTGCTCTCATCTAAATGCAGGCACAGTGGCCAGGAGGAGAACCCACATTGTAGACCCTAGCATTGAAACACATTAATTGCCAAGCTAAAGCATTGTTAATAAGTTGCACTTGTCAATCAGTGATTGGGCTGGGCATTTGTCTATGTGCTCAGTCATGCTGTTTCATTAGACTATTGCAAATGATCTCTCTGGATCATTTGCAAGCAAACGAGCAGGTGCTCCTACTACTGTGCACCAATGTCACCCTATGAAATAGCAAAACAAGAACACCCAAATTTGTATTGCATTTTATTTTCACAAACATGCATACATACGCATGACACTAGCAGCTTTTGTAAACCTTGTGAAGGAATGAGGAATATGCAACCCCCAAAAATGGCACTTACGGAATGAGTTCTTACTGAAAAAAAAAAAAAAAAAAGATGTTGAAAAAGCTGCTAAAAATAGTTTTCACTCCTATATCCAGGGGCAAGATCGTTTAACAAGTTTGGACGGCACTCTTTCCTGCAGAGAAAATAACCTCTCTTGTGCAAGGTCACATAGTAAAAAAAAGTGCTACAAAGACTTATTGTGAAAGAGGCACAGAATGTGGATGGAATGTGCGTCCTGCACAGTGCGCAAGCTTCATTCTGAAATGTCTTCAGTTATAATAAAAATAATTGAGGAAAAAAAAAGCTGCAGGTACAAGAATAAACACTCCTGTATGAGAGGTGCTTAAGTTCCAACAGCAAAAATTATTGCCCTTGGTTACTACAATGCTATGCACTTTAACAAAATCCAGGTGTGTAGAGAAAATTACCAGTTATTAAAAACATAGTTATTTGTCATTACTGAAACATAATGGCAACTACCCATCCTTAGTTACAAACATGGACATTATTTTCTAAGCATGGTCCTGGCCCACCACTGGCAAAATCAATGGATGCAACCTGTTACTACATAACCTGAAACGAGCAAACATACAATCTGAAGCGTTAAGTCGTTTAACTGGGCAACAGTTACCAGAACCATCACACAACAACCAATCACCCAATGGTGCCACTTCTATTTTTACTTTTTAGTCCTTAAGGGTTATTTCAAAGCATAAGAGCAAAAAAAATATATAAACTCGCAGATAGGGGCACACTAACCTGACACGAGTGTTAAGGTCAGATTTTACACCCTCTGCTATTCAAACGCAATCTCCGTTTCCTCACTCGCTTACTTGTGCCATTCGATCAAATTGGCATTGCTGGCACAACTATGAACGCTGGGCTGAATGAGAACGTTAGACTGGCGATGCAACTGCACTGACAAAGTTTGTCACAGCATTGCCCACACCTCTTTCAATGCAACTGGCCCCTTACAGTCGGGCTCAAAAAATAGGAAAATGAAATGGCAAGAAAATATTTCTTGCAACATCAAGCACAGCAAACTGCAGTCCAACTTTAATGTGCATTCACCTCTCTCCACCACATTTACTTGGTGCACGCATGTTACTATTTTTTGATGACTGATAATGCAAAGCTGTAAGAATGATGGGGTGTCATAGAATTTTGAAACCCAGTGCCTTGAAATCTGTAGAAATCCTAAAAAAACGAATACAATGTAAATTCAAAACTTTCCATTCCTTCTTCAAAGCATTCACAGACGTAGCACAATAACCTAACTCTAATGAATTTGCAACAATTATGTTGACAAAATGTTGGCTGTCAGTTAAGTGGCTACACTTAGGCATTAACACAACTTTCTGAAAGTGACTACAGTAGTTCACTTAATCAAGCCCAAAGAAATTTCCTTACATGTGGCTTGAGTCTTGAATCTTATTGCAGTATTGTACAGCCTCCAACAGGCTTTCTCTTCTACTCCACCAAATATGAGAGTCGCTAAACAACAACACAAAAAAATAGCCACTTTGACCGCTTGCAAAGAACTAGGAAACCACAGCACAAGAGTCATCGCAAAGTCCTTCATACACATCATACACAGTTTGTAAACGTCAAAAGTCATCTTTCCAAGTCTTGCACAACACCAAATATTGCTAAAATATCTTCTATATAAAAGAACCTTCCAAAAACATTAACAGTCAGTGTAAAAGAAGTACAGAAGTAAGACAGGTGGCACTGTACAAATGCAAGTCGTTACAGAATCTGCTGGCACCTGAAACCAAGACAGACGCCAGCGAAAATAAAAGCTAAAAGCAAAACAATGATCACAACCACCATCCTGATCTGCATATATATAATTTCCTCATTTAAAAGAGATGTGTACATTCATAAGAGCGTAAAAAATTGGCAAGTGCAATGGCATTACACTGTAAAACTACTCGAAGAAAAGGAATGCGGCCGAACTATGGAACCACGAAGGAATGTTACACCTTGTTACAGATCACACTGAACTCTACTGTACATTCTAGAAGAACCATGCATAATGAAGCAAATCATTCTCTTCACTAACCACCCATCTAAATCCCCTTTAATAGCTGCCCTACGTTAATCAAGAAAAAAAGAGCTTGAACCTTCACACAGAGTGTTCTGCGCTACAAGCCCTATCATAACAGTCCATTGGCCATCAAAAACGTATCTCTGAAACACTTGAATAAAAGAAACTATTGATTTGCTTGCAGCTACTACATCTTTAGGTACAATGCATATATTTTATGACCCATCCTAAATGAAATAAGGCAAGACTGGTGACACAGGCACGCTGGAAATACAAGTACATGTGAGATAGTCCATGCAAGGGCGATAATCAGCCAAAACTCCTTATCTCGCCATTTTTATGTCAAGATTGCAGGCGATGCAAAATATACAGGCACAAATTGCAACTGCTGCCCGATGTTCAAGCAGAAGGTGCGTCAACTTTGCTGAACCGGCGAGCGGAAAATCTGCAAGCGCTAACATAAGCTGCATGAGAACAACCCACCACATGTGTAGGCAAGTCAACGGTGATGGCCCCGCAAAGGTGTAAAGCCAAAAGGCACTTTTACAGCTTTACTATAGTTGGCTTGATTGGCAGCTGCGACTATTGTCCCACAAAAGCGACTATGGAGAATATTTTATTGATATGAAACTGTTACAAAAGCCATTGGGTACATTATGCAAAACTATGAGGAACGTACAATGCCATAGCAGAGACCTGCCTTTTTTTCTAAATAGAAGCTAGTTTACAAAAAAAAAAAAAAAAAAAAAATCAGACTGGCACATATGTGCCACAAAAAATTGCAGCCTGACAAGTCAACAAATGCAGTTATGCTTGTCCTGTACTGCCACAGTATACATAAACCAGGCAGTTATGCAATCACTAAGAAAAAAGTACATGGCAGCTAGCATGTGGTGCCAACTACTACAGGCTTATACAGTTTCACTGGTCCCACAGTGCAGCAATGTAGTGGCAGTGCATCTCACACTAGCCCGACCAAGACTGGTCGTGGCACTAAAGATCAGTACAAAGAGGACACAGCCCTCCTCCAGTCAAAGCTCCGTGGTCATAACGGTGCGCCTTTCGACCTGCCGTTTGGGGGCAGGAGCGTCCGTTGAGCCAACGTGCCACGGTGAGAGCTGGCTGGATGTGCAGTTGGACAACGTGCGCTTGACCACAACAGGTGCGGCAACCCCACCGTTGCTGACTCGCGGATGCGTGGCAGAGGAAAGGGAGCGAGTGACGGGGTTCGCCCCGGCAAATGATGTCTCCTGCACAGACACACAGCAATACATGGCATATCAAGCAAATCCATATACCAAAGTTGCATGCTCCATGTTTAGTGCAGTCTATTGTTAAGAGGAACACCTAGATGGTAACATAGCCAATACAACACTAGCACCTTTATAAACAGGGGAACATGGCTGATAGGATGCAACATGCCCATACCTAGCATATTTACATGTTTGGGGCGATCCACTTTGTCCTAATTCGAAATACGAAGTTGGGGGGTCGACCTAGAATCGTAAACTAGTCTCGGTTCTTCAGTCTTTCTGAAAATGATCCCTGTGTATTCCTGCAAAGCTAGCCTTTCTGCATTGCTTCCGAGCAGTGCCATGAAGCCACCTTGGCACACCAAAATTCAGTGTTTTTTTAAATACATCGTAAACAACTTTTTCTTTAATGAAATGCGCTAATGCTTTTTTTTGTCGTGTAATTTTGGAGGGTGGACTTACAATTGTGTAGACATGACATGCTTTCAGAAACAATCGGAATGCCTTCATGCCAATTTTCATTTGTAGTCAGTATCCAATTAATCTAAATGGGTGGCTGAACTTATATACGAGACAATTTATGTAGAAAAATCAAATCACAAAAAAAAAGAGCCAATTCAATCTTGTACATACAACAGACCATCATATTATCTTTAGAATGCTTCGTGTGCCAACTACAGCAAATAAGTGATCATGCTAAAGTGCTCTGAATCCACACAGATAACGAACGTGTCTCCAAGTCTCATAAGAGTCATAACATTGGTTATTAAAGTAACGTTATGGTTGTGAACATGAACTACAACTGCAATCTGTTGAGAAAAATTAAAACTTTTAGCCACATACTCACTAGTCGCTTACAACATAATTTCAGATTCCACATCTCATTATGTGAAATTAACAGCAGCGTGGTATCACAAAACAATGCTAAAATATGTGTCCACCAATGGTGCAGGCAGAAGTTTGTTTTGAGGGAAAGAGTGAAAGAGCCTTTCTTTCGTTCAAAGTGGAGGGCTAAGCAGGCAGGTGTCATTTTATGCCCTGTATTCCATGAAAGAAAAAAATTTTGAGGGGAGTAGGGGCATACCTGGCTATGCCACTGGTGCCAACATAGGCTTGGATGGCAGATAAATAGATATAGATCATGAACAGACTTTTCGTCTTTTATGCAAAGATTGTTCAATGCTAGCTCAGCCAGACTTTATGGCTATCTTACAGACACTGAAACCACTCAGTGATTCCCAATGAATCTCCTGAGAGTCAAAGTATTCTACGTATTGTACCATGATAGTCGCGAGCATTGCTCAATTTTTTTTCAACAGGCAAATCAAAACTCTCTGTAATCCGTTGATGTCTGTAATTTGTGCAGCAACGCCTCCACCACATGAAACAGCTACTCTGACACAACAGCCCACCCACAATATATGAAATTTCACAAATTTGTTCTTAAAGTCAATTTAGTCCCAAACCAACATTATTTCAAGTGCAGAACACAAAGAAAGGCACTATACAAAAGGCCTTGATATGGGCAAAGAAAAATAGCTTGAAGGTACCATTGACACAAAGTAAAATATTTAAAAAACTGACTAGAATGCATTTGCGCTGTTTGGAGTCCAGCCAAAATTTAAAAAGTAACGATATTTGCAGACACCACAACAAAGGACACAGGACACACAGATTTGAAAAATAGCACAGACAACACACCTTTTGGGGGATATATACACACACACACTAACAACAACGGTTTGTCTTCATACAAAGCACACAGGCAGCAGCAAATTTCAAATAGAACAAACTGACGAACAACACACTATTTTTATTTTGGTCATAGAAAGTCTTTTGGAAGACAATTAGAAGTTTTGCAAGTGCTCGATGGGAGACCAAGCAATAAAACTATGTATTTAGTAAGTTGAATAATTTCTTTTATAATCTCTATGATACATTGACAAAATCACTGAATGAGCCAAAGTTTTAAAGCCGTATAGTAGAAAATTCGATATGTAGCAGGGAAGAACTAGTGCAAACAATATAAGGATTTGAGCTGATGTGCTGATTTCTGCGGCTGCAATCATGTTTAGCAATGATTGCAGCCGCATGCTGCCAAATGCTGCACCATGCTAGTAAATAGTCATGCATGACCAGGTGGTCCCGTAAAATTTCTATTTTCACTTTGCGCAGACAGTATCTCCTTCATCATACTTAATTTGAACGGATGTGCCCTTTTGCTTACTCTGTCGGAGTTGCCCAAAGTTTTTGAATGAGGTGCCTCGAAAGTGCTAGCTTTAAGCATCTTCCTTCAACGGGGCCCTGCAACACTTTTTGAGCATGGTGATAAAACACTGCCGATCGGTGGCAGACGCTCCCGAGAATACATGAGCCAAACATTATAACGCAGCATGCGGCCTTTCATTCACAATAAATTCACAAAGTCAGCTACAAATTTCTATCTCTTTTCTCCACAAATGGTGGAAGAAGCTAAAAATTACTCGTCACAGCCATTCTATCGGCCATTGGCTGATTTGCACATGGCGCGTTTGGTCGTTACAAGGATCACCGCGGAAGGCCGCGACTTGTTCACGCACGCGGTCACACTTAAAAAGCCGCGTATTCAAAGAAAAAGAAAAAAGTGCTCAATGTTGAGAGGCACACATGATTTTTTTGTTTGCTCGTGCCCTCCCCTGCCCCCCCCCTGCTTAGCTCCCAGCGATTTCGTTGGAACGAGAGAAGAGAGAATGTGACTGCAGCGTGCGACAAATCTTTGTAATTTTGATTGTACTGGACGCATTCTAAAATTTTTTTGCGGCAGGGAATTTATGAGAAAATAAGCTCTATTAGCAAATAGATTCCATGTCTACTTGAAAAATTGTTGCAGGGCCCCTTTAAGATCATTCAATGTTCGCTACTTGAAGCCAGCGTTTCTTTAGAAACAAACTGCTTGGATTCTGTCTTCTTTATTCAAGTGAGACACAGTAACAGCTCTACAGGTCCATTCAACTTTCCTTGCACCCAGTGAACTGGCCCAGAATAGATCGCTGCCCCTTCGTTAATGGAAAAAGAGCCCAAATATGAAATCTGCATGCCACTGCTGCAATTGTGGACAGTGGCAACTCGTCACTCGTGCATGAATGGTGATGAGCAGATGCCACCATACATTTTGAAAAGGTTAAATTCTGGAGCCTTACGACCAAAATTGCATGATGGTTACAAGGCATACTGTAGTGAGAGACTCCGGATAATACTTTTGACAACCGGGGGTATGTCTACGTGCACCTGGATATAAGTGCACAGTTGTTTAAATTTCACTGGAACCAAAAAGTGGGCACCATGGCCAAGAATTACACCAGCCCCTGATGCTCAGCAGCACAACACTAACCAAAGCGGTGGTAGGGCGTAGAACAGATGCCACCATGTTCGGGCATTGGTGAAATGTTTACAAATTGTGGAAATTGAAGTACAGAGTATTCTGAACTTGATCAGTGAGTGCAAGAAAAAAATGAATGATCCCTAAAACGTGAGGGATGTGCAGTTCGGACACTTACAGTCAGCACCACACCATCCAAACTCTTTTTGGGGAGAGTCTGAGGAGATGGTGGCAGTGGTGGTGGCAGTGCTGGCTCAAGGGTAGCAACAGCGGGAGGAGGAAACGGGATGTTCAGCGGGTGCAATAACAGGTTTTTTGGGTGGCAGGATTGGGGTGCTGGGAAGGGGATTGCTGTGATTGCTGTTGTTAAGCAGCAGTGCAGGGTGGTCAGCCTTGCAGCCGGCCGGCGGCAGCGTTTCCTCGTCCTCGCTATCAAACTGAATGAGTAGCTGCGAGGAATCGGGGCTGATGGCACGTGGTGCCTGCTGGTGCGCGCATGCCGGCAGCGGGCTACAGCCGCCTGCGGCGCTGGCGGCGCCACTGCCGGCAGACGAACCCTGTGGCTGGTGGTGAGAGGGGAAGAAAAGGAGGGAGTGGCACAGACACAACGGGGAGGGAATCACTAGTTGTTCAAGATGCAGAAGCTACACACAATCACTAACAGCATGCAGCATAACACGTTTTTTAATGGTGCTAACGAGCACTCCCATAATCAGGCAGCTATCATAAGTTATAATCTAGGATTAAATACAAGCTCCTCCAACAGAACTGCCGTGCACTTAGCAATCACCTATGTAGACGACTATAATGAAAGCTGGTTTCCTTTCAAAATTGCAAGTACAGTTCAATGCTAATATAACTTACTATGCATATATTAAACTAAAGGTTTGCATTGCAGGCTGCTGGAACAAAATGAAAACCAAAGAAATTAAAAAAAAAAAACTATTTTTGACTGAGACAAAAATGTAACCAAAACAAAGTTTATCAATTTTCAGTGCAAAGGAAAAGTTGCCAGTCCGAAAAAAAAAGAAGGTAATACGACCTGAGCATTGCATATCTCGAGGGACAGTATTAGCACTAGTATTATCTCTGCCAAGCATTCAAAAGTATAAATATGCACTGAAATTTTGTGAAAAACACAAGGTGGCCACTAGAGCTGCTAATAGTAACAAAAGTGGACCTTGCTATACCAGCATAGAGGGGGCACTGTTGGCGCTGAAGTTTGTTTTATCGGAACAGCAGTCTTGCATATCAGGGACTACACTTAATAATGAGCTACTTCTAAGATCATGCTCGGTATCTTGACTCAAAGCATTCAGCCTGCTCAGAGAATTCACGATTCACTTACAAGAAAAAATGTTCTGATCGACTATATCATTATCATTAGTTTAACATAATATTCATTTTTACACAAATAGAAACTGTAATGTACCGACTAAGGTTGCACGGTGGGCTTGTATGTAAATAGCACCGTGTATCTGTTCTGTGTCTTCTTCTCTGTCCCATCCTGGATGCGCTATGCCTCGAACAACATGCAATGTACCATCCTGGAAAATTTTTCTTTCATTCTGGAACCGAAATCGAATCGAACTTTTTTTGCAGGAACGAAACTAAATCCCAAGATAAAAACTATTCGTTACGGCATCCTGCGTCATTCCATCCTAAAATCTGATCTTGAGCAAAACAGTGGCGTCAGAATCTCTTATGAAATTTTCCAGGACATAGAAGTTTTCTAGTTATAGATCAATGCGTCTGTATTGGTACACCAATTATTAAAACACGCAGAAAGCGCTTGACGCCACTGAAATGAGGAAATGCAAGTGGAAGCATGCTTATGCTAATTCTCTCTGGGTGGGATAGCGCTGGCTGTGGTTGGAGCTTGTATTTATTCACAAGTTGTGAATGAGAATAGCCTAAAGTGCAGCAGTCGCTAACCAATCATAATGATCAGTGCCGTTCTGCGATGCACACAATGGATACCTTAAATGGGACACGTTTTTACCAGGTTGGCAGATCAACACGGCCAAAATATCGTAGTAAATGAATGAATGCCCTCGACTTCCATCCTTTCTCAAACATCGTCATTGCTTTTGAAACACTGTCTTGCTTAGCAGCAGAATTGCACAATTTTATGCCCAATAGGAGGCTATGGAGTTTACTGCTTTCGTATGCTCCTTCTCTTCGACCATACGAAGATAACCATGTCCCAACGAGCCCTGAGGGTGGTCGGCAGCTGCACTGACTCTCTTACACATCAGAAAAGGCTATTAAAAAATTTAAGCTACTCATCAGTGCTCGTCTTCTGTTCTTTCAAGTTTCAATACCTTTATGCCAATTCGTAGGAGCACTGGATCCGAAAATGAACATATGAACATACACTGCCAATCTTACAGCTAATTCAACACAGTTAAGTTATTAGAGCTTAGCAAAACAAACGTGCTTTTAAGACGCAGGCAGTAGATGGCTTGCACCATTATTGCCAAATGGAGGAACACTTAAGCGGCAGAGCTTTCTCCTGTTCACTCCATCAACAGAAATTCAGAGAAATTTCAAATGCAGTATTATCACATTCATGGCACCAAGTGCAAGCCATCTATAAAGCAGCCATTATAATTTATTGTTTTATGAAATGCGATCAGCACAATATTAGGATGGTGTAGTAAGTGCAGTAAGTAGTACAGAAGCTGCCTTGCATAAGTAAATGAAGCAGCTATATTGACATGCAACAAAACACTGACATGGTACCATTGTCCAATTGATGGTTTATGTTTCAATGACTAGAGCAAGGCACCCTTTACCCACCAATAGAAGTGAGAGACTCTTGATACACATAACTCTGTGGTGCGTGTTTAGCAGAGACATGCTATCTTCAAGCACTTCCCAAATATTCAAGCCCAAAAAACTCACCGAAGGTTTATGTTTATGACTAAATTCACATGTGCTTTGTTTGCATTGCTGAATTAGTTTAAAATGATGCCATCCTAAGAAACCATAGATGCCAGACCTTGTGCAAAGATTCCTCCAGGCATAAAAATAATCACAGGAATCAAAGCTACAATTGCCACATTTAAAATATAATAAAGACAGCATTGAAATGTCACTGCCAGGCTTTGTCGCGCTATTGCCAGTGATGTCTTACCCGCAGCAGCACTCTCACTGCTAAGCTATTGAACTCGCACCTTGACTCCGCAGAACACTGTATTTAGCAAGGCTTCATAATCATATAGATGCTGACAGCACCAGATTTAAATCTTGCAATTTGAACATGTAACCCTACAGTACTACACAGTGAAAACGCAGCTACAGCTCCACTCACCAGTGCAGCCACTAGGTCACCAGCATGTCCATTGCTAAGGACAGCAGTACTATCGGCCAAGAGATCCTTCGTATCACTGCAAATACAGAGACACCTTTGTAGATCGCAAAATGGTTATGTACCATAATGGTTTATTTTTATATAGTAAAAGGCATGGAAGCCTAGCCAAGCAATAAGATGTCATGCCCCAGGCACACACCATTGGACAAGAACTCCTATTTACAAACGCGATGATGACGCATTATGAATAGCTATGACATTCTCAGATAGCATTAGTATTGTACCCTTACCTATGCCACATCATGGGGAATGGGTGCAAATGTGACCTCTTAGACTTACCAGTGTCTTGTCTTTTCTCTATTCGCAGTTCCTTTGGCTCCAGCAAACTCACTGGATTCACTGCAAGTGAGAAATATGTATATGTGAAGCTTTTGTTCTTTGCAGCTGTGGCTAGAAAATTTTTGGAAAGCCCGGGAACGCATGTGCAGCCATAAAGCGAGAATAGTTCATTCGCACGGTGCAGCCCCAAGCTGGACTTTAGAAGTAGACACTAATGTTTGTTCACTTAACTGCACATGTGCTACAACATTCACAGCACATGTGCTCACTCACTCACATACACACACAGACTCTTAAATTTTTTTTTTGTGTATCAGTGCTTGTCAGTAAGAGAGCACTGATATAACAAATATAGATATAAAGCAAATTTTAGTTTTTATAACTGATATCAGTATGCAACAAACATGAACTTAAATGAATTTCAGATACAGATTACACTTCCAGTCCATTGGCGTTTTGTCATGACAAAGTAAGACTGCATCAACTTTGACGGATGTGACATATCAGTATAAACTTACCCGTTCACATGAATGACGGTCTTGTACTTTTCTGCCACAAGTGGCTTTCCATCTTCATTGTCCGATAAAAGCAACGGCACTTTCTCGCCTACAACCCCTAGACTTGGCACTGCAGCAGTTGAAAAATGAAACAGACTTATAAGTTAATTGCACTATACTGCTACTAGCACGGACAACAATAAAAAAAAAAGATCCACTTTGTAATTTGAAAAATATTGCTAGTTATCAGCACTTACAAATTATCATCAAAACACCCAAAAAAAGGCCCCGAAAGCACCTGTGCTAATTTCTTAACATTTCAAGTAAATGAGTGCAATAACTTCAGATAGCCATTATGATCAATAATGGCAAACACGGCAGTGCTAAGAGCTACGGGAGCCCCACAAACTCCAAGAAACGATTCCAGTCTTCTTCGACCCTTTTAGTAATTCTCAGAATCTGCCGTGACATCGGCATTGTCCTCTGCTGGCCACTCTTGCTCCCTGCAGTGTGAGGGGAAGCACGCAGCCAGGAGGAGCAATGGGCTGACGAACAGGGCATAGTTGAAGGCAAAAGCGAAAAGTGCTAGGGTATCTTCTGGGTCATCAAACGCACGTCACTCCGCTATTACACACTATTTCTAAAAATGTTCTTTGCTACGTGTTCACAGTAGACTTGGGCACGACTGCACCACCATAGCTGAATTTCAACCTGTGTGTGGTTTAAAGGCCCTTTAATAAGCTTAACTCCCCCCAAAAATGTCTACGAGTACTACGAGTTAAATGGCTGCCTACCTTCTGAAACTGTGGGGTTCAGAAGCTCTTAGTAATGAAAACTGCAATGTGTAAGCTCCCAAAAATCATGTCCAACTAAAATATTTCAATTTTATTAGATGGCCTAGCAAAATTGGGCTTTAGACATATCTTGCGTTTTAATATATGCATTCATTTTTTACCGTACTACCTTACTGTATATAAAAGTTGGGAACTGCACTCTATTTTAAGCAATTTCGACAAGTTAAAGGGACACTAAAGTCAAATAACAATTTATGTCAGAATGAAATCTCAATGTATGACAACATCCAAAATGACAATATTATCAACAGCAGTGCCCTACTTACCGGGAAATTAGGGTAAATGTACAACACATACGTCACGAGTAGAGCATTTGCAAAATGATCTCGATTACATCAGAGGTACCGCCTACAATTAATCACTAGTAATCAAACTAGCTGCACTGAATAAAGAACCCTTTGCGCATCAAGATATCTAATAAAATGCTGCTTCTTCATTTTTGTTTGATTCATGAAGAAAAAAACGCAGGACGTTACTATGGGAAATGGCACGAGTGGTTCAAATGTTCAATTTTCACCTAGTTAAACTGGACAGGTTGTGCCATCGTGCCATCTAGCAGACAGCATCGTGCCATCTAGTGGGGCCCAGTTGAACCAAGCACACCTGCTTTCACAGGCCATGGCTCCCGCTACTTTCGTACTGCAGCTACTTATGTCGGCAGCTCCGCAGTATAGCAGAGCAACATTGTGCATGATAACAGCGACTTGACACGTTCCGCTTGAGGCAGGTAACTTAAAGTGCACTAACCAAATTCAGATCACTAAAACGGGATTTTATTTCAAAATAGGCAGTTCCTTGGCACAAAAGTAACATTACGAGGTTTCTGAACCACTATTTCAACCATCAACATCAACTTAATAGTTGCTTTTAGTGTCGCTTTAACATGATATTGTTTTTCCACCCACCTACACACTTCGAAGTGCTTACCTAGGTGACTACACTTGAACCATGTTGGTGAATATGAGGAAATGGTTGCTGCCCATTCTGTCTGGGGCCGTTGCCAACATTGTACTGCACTCCGCGGACCTTCTGGTCCGCGGAGTGTAGTACAATGTCTATCACACTTCGCGAATATGGTGGCCGAAAAAAATGTTGGTTTGCCATCATTCGCCACACATAAGTCAGCAGCATCCTCTGCCGCTAAAAGTTCCTTGCCTCAGGAGTGAGCACTCTTATTTCCCCAGAGCGGGCGATGTGCATTAAAGTCACCAGAGGAGCGGGACACCGAGTGCAAATTCGGGAGCACTGGTCGACATTTCTACAATGCGACTCGCTGGAACACGTACATAACAGCGCTGGAGGTATCCTCTGGTGAGCTGTTTGCAGACATGTTACGAAGTAAGCGGGCGGCTACATCGCTACTGAAATTGCCCGATCAATTCCCTGCTTCTGACTTAAAGTTAAAGAACCTGTGCCCAGCATGTAGAAGAGTGGAGCGGAAGCACATGAGGAAAAAAGGGAAACCTATCGGCGAAAACTGAATATAACTGGATAAATGCTGCCATTCGTCACCACACGAAAAAACTACGCATAATTTAATGGGCTGCTTTCTGTGAAAGTTTATCGCTGTTTACATTCTTGACAAGAATATGGAGAGTCATAAATAGTCTTTCTAGAAAGATCTGCTTTCACAGACCATTTCAAGCACTCGCTTTGAAGCAAAGTAAAGATTTGCAAACCCTTGCAGAATACCGTAATTACTCGAATCTAACGTGCACCTTTTTTCTGGTTAAGCGAGCTCATAAATCGCATGCGCGTTAGAATCGAGTACGAACAAAAAAATTACGGTCAATCTATTGCCATCGGCAAATCCAAAATGGCCGCCCCCTAAGTGTGTCGGCATGGCGCGTCGGCCATTTCTGCCTGTGTTTCCCATGTGCGGCACTTCGTACGTGTGCTGAGGAGTTTGTCATCTAGTAGTGCATTAGCATCGACGGCAAGGAAGGGCCGACTCCAAATACTCGAGTGCACCACGATGCCGCTTTTAAAAGAAAAGTCATCGCGTGTGCAGAAATGGACGGAAATCGGGCCGCATCACGGTCGTTCGGAGTTCCCAAAACGTGCGTGCGGCACCGGCGGAAGCAAAAGCAGAAGATTGTCGACAGCAAAGCTTCACGCAAAGGCTTCAGTGGACCACAGCAGGGTCGGTTTCCGCAAATTAAAGAGCTGCTCGGCGAGTATGTGCTTGAGCAGCGAGCGGCACAGCGGCCCGTGACGACAGAACTGCTCCAAGTGCGGGCTATGCAATTAGTCTTAGAAAAAGGTCTAATGCGGAACCAGTTTAAAGCGAGCAGGTGCTGGCTAACTAACTTTATGAAGAGTAAAGGCTTTTCCCTCAGAAGGGGAACATGCATATGCAAAAACTTTTGCGGAGGAGTACGATGAAAAGCTTCACCGTTTTCAGAGGTTCGTCCTAAACTTGCGGCGCAACAACAGCTACCTGCTTGGCAAATCGGGAATGCCGATCAGACGCCTCTTTACTTTGACATGCCTGGCATCACAACCGTCGAGAAGAAGGAGGCGAAGCAAGTTCGCGTGCTGACATCGGTCCACGGTAAAACTACAGTGACGACAATGCTAAGTGACGACAAGTCAGATGGGCACAAGCTTCGCCCGTACCTCATATTTAAATGGAAGACGCTCCCGAAAGGAGTCGTTTTTTCAAGTGGTGTGATCGTGCGGGCCAGCGAGAAAAATGGGTGCGCATTGCAATCTTACGTGTCTTACGTTTTTTTTTTTTTTTTTCGCGGTGGAAATGGGGTGCGCGTTACAATCGAGGGCGCGGTAGATTCAAGTAATTACGGTATTTTGTAGACGTATACACATCTGGCAGATCAGCTGGAGTGGCGATACCTCTATTACCTCAAATATCCCACACAATAGATACGCCGTTCACATTTTGAGAGATGGATATGGCCCTTAACAAATTAAAAAGACGCTGTGCTGTGGGTCCCGATATGATCAGCAATCAGATTCTGACAAATCTGCCATATGATCGAAGGCACGCCCTTTTGGGCCTATTTAGTAATGTCTGGAGCACAGGAGAGATTCAATTTGTATGGAAAAATACATAGGTGGTGCCAGTGCTGAAGCCTGGAAAAGATCCTGTGAGCCTCACCTCATATCGACCATTATCGCTACCATCATGCACATCTAAGTTGATGGAAAGACTCATATGCACAAGACTAACTTGGTACCTTGAGCATCAAGGAAAATAGCCCGCGTGTGTGACAAGATTTCGCCCACGGCTGAGCGCCCAGGACAGTGTTTTGGACCTGCCGAGCCACATCGAGCACCACCGTGTCAACGGCTTCTCTACACTCGCCGTCTTCATGGACGTTGCCAAAGCATATGACTGTGTGCTACAAATAGGCATCGTCAACGGACTCTAAGCCAAGGGTGTTTCGGGAAAGTCTCTTCATTTCGTACATGAATTTATCGGAGACCGGCATGTCCAGGTTAAGCTCGGAAATGTCATGAGCGAAGAGCGAAGTGCTTCCCTCGGCGTTCTGGAAGGAAGGGTCCTATCTCCCTTGCTTTTTAATGCTGCCATGGCCAGCCTTCCTGGCACTTTGATATAGTTCTGAAAGCAGTTAAAATATCAATCTATGCCGATGATATATGCATCTGGATCTCAGGGTACCAACACAAACGTCTGGCCCGGATGGCACAGAGCGTCATTTCAATCATTGAACGCCATTTGTCGACACTTGGCCTGTCTATATCAGCGGAGAAATCAGCCTTCATGCTCTTACCGGGGGTGCGGGGGAAGTCAACGCGCCTGTCGCTGAGTATTAGAGGCAATTCCATTCGTCGTGCGGCAAGTGTTCGTTTACTGGGCGTCACCATTGATGACAAGTTACTGTGGCGACAAGCGGTTGATGGTATTATGGCCACATCCATGCAGAGACTCAACGCTCTTCGTCACATGGCAGCTGTACGCTGGGGCAACAATCCTATGTCGATGCTTAAGCTGAATGCTGTGCTCATAACAAGCCACATTCTTTACCAGCTGCCGCTGATATCGCCATCACCGAGCCAGTTTGAACGCTTGAAGGCAGTGCACAGAAAGTGTCTTCAATTGACGATGGGAGTCCCTCAGGCGACGTCAAACAAGATCAGCGATGAAGCCGAGTGTCTACCACTCCGCCTCCTGGCGTCTCAGGCTTTGTTGACGCAGCTATCAAGACTGGGCGAGTCCTCCACAGGGACGGCCCTTCTCCGGCGGCTAAGAGCAAAATCTGACTCACATTTTCACGTGGCACTCAACACATTT